CAATATGAAAGCAGATATATATCCACACATCTCTCTAATAATATGGATCTTATACCCTCCAATACATGGGAAGATGGCATAAATGGATACTAAACACGTGCATACCACATATAAAATTTAGGAGATACCACAATCAACCCCAGGATATTCCTACATATAACTATTACAACCCTCTGAGGAGAATGGAGGATAATGAGAGAAGAGAGATACACCACCTCCTTTTTTAGGGAGAGGACGGTATCCCCATCAAGACAGAAGGAAAATGGGACCCAATGGGAAATCAAGATGGGAATAAGAAGGCAGAGGGACTGTAGAGCCGGAAAACGGTGTAAAAAGAAAACGCTGGTACTAGGTGAAGGAGTATTTAATTTAAGTTCAGTGAATTTGACACGAGAAGAGATGGTACAAAATTCAACCAATTTTAGTTGCGCTAGGATAAAGTGTTAGAGTAGCAGCTGCAACAATGTGTGTAAACGTGATAGATGTGTGCCAGTATGTTGCGCTTGGTTTTGTATTCCACCTACTAGTTCATTTATAAAAATTCCTTTATAGGAAGAAAGTGTTCTGTCATAAAACTTTATTTACAAATATATAATGACAGAAAATAAATTCAATAATAAATAATAATTGTGTAATCTGAAAATGGGAGCTTCTGTTGTAGTCTCTCTCCCCTCTCCTGCAATCAGCCGGCACTCTCTCTCGATGACGGTGTTGTACACCCTCCAGGTGTGATTTGAGGGCAACCCCGGAGTGTCCAGCCAAAGAAAAAGGGGGAAGACCACAGAAGAAAGACAAATAGGATTTCGTTGAATAAAACAGGGTATGAGTGTAAAGGACACTCAACCTTGTAGAACCTTTCCAGTGTGTCAGCGAGGAGACAATGAACTCCCTTGACGCGTTTCATCCTGCGGACTTTTTCAAAACCCTATAAAGGAATTTTTATAAATTAACTAGTAGGTGGAATACACAAACCAAGCGCAACATACTGGCACACATCTGAGAAGAGATGGTAGTACTGGACCAAGAACTAAAATATGCGCCACCCAAATAACTGAACAAATTTGAGACCTTCATCTCAGTACATAAATTCATTAGAAGATTACATTAAAAAAAAACTTCATGTCAACCCCAGTGAATAGAGTAAACAACAGTGATTTATAGTTTTGTTAGCCAACAAATCCGTTTTTAATCCCCTCATTAACAATAACAAATATGTCGAAGTTTTCAAGAAATTGGTAACCCATGATATAGAGAAAATACAAGTTAAACCCCCCCCCCCTCCCCCCCATATAAAATGCGGTATCAGCGGCCTGGAAGAAAGAAAAGAGGTGGTGATCCGACCTGCGGACAAGGGAGGAGCCATAGTGATTCTCAATAAAGAAGATTATAACAAAGAGATGACACGTCTATTATCGGATAGGGAGACCTATGAAATTCTCTATAAAGATCCCACTACCATGTATTCTAGATGAAGCGCAGCACATTCATTATATAGTGCTTGCAGCTACACAGGGTTTGGCGCGAGGTGCTATTTATCACTTCTTTTGCTGGGATTGGTACCTGTGGAGAGAATGCCGCCAGCTGCAGGCTCCCCTCAGCCAGCTCCAGAATAGCAATCGGTAGGCAGGAACCCTGAGGTTACAGCTGTAAGCTGGAGCTGTCAGTTGTGACTTGAGGTGAGCTTAGCAGCACTGGATCTCCTCAGCTCGGCTCCTGTGAAGGCTGCCTAAAGCATCAAGATGTGAACATTGCAAGTAACTGACCTGATCTCATGTGGTGCCTGGGTGACTGCCAGGTTTCCTTGGTTGGCGCTCTCCAGGGCCTTTAGGTAGTAATTGCAGCATGTTGGTTCCAAGTAAATGTCAAATCAGTTAGCCCACTTGAAGTGGAACTTAAGCCTCCTGTATGATAGTCTATACATGTAATAAATCCAGTTACCATACGATGCACAGGCCTCATAACAAACAAACAAAAATTATTTTATCTTCACTATGCGAGGGAAATTCTCCTCCATTTGTCTCACATGTTCTACCTCAAATGTTGCAGCTCACAGCGAAAGGGTTTTGGCAACAGATGCAGCGCCGTCAATCCAGAAAGCAGTGGGGAAGACTAGGCTTGGCCATCTGCTGATTGACAGGCTACAGGTTGTGAATCAGCAGTGACAATGCTGATCGCAAAACCCTAGCAACATTTTTCTTCACATCACTGTAATGTAATAAGGCACAGCCTACATGAGTGGCAACTCGGCTCCGAATTCAGGAGCCGTGCAGGATTGTTACCTCACCATCAAAGGAAGCTGCGTTAGGTGGACTTCACTGGCAGGATCCGCCCATGAAAGAAACTCAGTCAGTGCCAGCGAGTGCCCCCCTGCGGCATTGTCCGAGGCCACCGCTACATGTTGGCCTGCTAACACATCGCAAAACTGGTACAGGGCCAGCCCTATCGCCTTCAGCTCTCTCCAGTTTGACGACTTGCTTCTCCACGTGTGCTCTCACGTATCCTGCCAAATGTGCTCCAGGCAGTGGGCTCCCCACCCCCAGGCATCCGTTGTGACTATTAATGGTGCTGGCTGGCACCACAGCCTGCCTACTGAGAGGTTCCGACTCTCCATCCACCACAGCAGGGATTGCTTGATCGCATCCGTGATGTGGACTACTTTGTCTAGGTCTTGGGCAATGTAAGCGGCTGCTTTGCTCAGCACGGGGAGGGAACCCAGCAACTGATCTCGATCAGTACCAGACTCCAGGTGGACTTGAAGCTGGTTCAGCCACACACTTAAAGTCCTGGCCACGCAAATAAGGGCCAGCCCGTATTTAAACCTAGCACTGGCCAATTCCCATCCATTTCTGAGCAAAGCCTCGGCTTTCCTATCCATCGGGTCCTTCAATGCCACCATATCTTCAAATGACAAATCAGTCTTTTTTTAGACCTTTTGATAAGGATGCATCTATCTTCGTGCATTTCTCCCACAGGCCTGAATCCTCCTCCGCAAATGGGAATCTACGCTTGTGACCTGCCGAGAAAAACACTCTTTTCTCTGGGTGCTTCCACTCCTCCTGGATCAGTTCCGAAAGTGATTTGAGCACTGGGAAGGTACGCCCCTTTAGTCTGGAGCCCTTTGTAAAGCTTATCGTGCACCGACAGCTCAGCGGACTCTTCTTTAATACCTAAAGTATCCCATATGGCCTTTAAACAGCTCACCTGTCTCAAAAGGAAGGGAATACGAATTTCGTAGCTCTACTGCTATGTTCATCACCCTCCGAATCTTCCTGATCCTGACTCTACCTGAGAGCCCGGAGGATTCACTGGGCGCCTGCTTGCTTACGCAACTTTCTGCGTAGCCCACCGAGCTGCCTTCCCCTGATGTTCCTGGTAAGCTAGTGTTCCCCACTAGTGTACCCACTGGGCTATGGATCAAAGACCTGAAAGATTGAAATGTAGTAACCATTTCCTCTCTCATAGAATCCATCAGACCCTTGAACATCCCTGCCGATTCTTTGGCAACCACTTTCTCTAAACAACCTTTGCATAAGGGTTTGGACCATAAAGATGACATCTTGGCATTGCAAGAAGCACCCTTCTTCCCTTTTGGGCGAGAGCAGCCAGCTTCAGCAAGGGGCTTATCCTCCGTGACTTTGACCTGTATAAGACAAGAATGATGCCGTCAGCCAGTGCTCCTCCCGACATGCAAGCAATGTTTCTAAAACAGCACTACCCAGCTTTTCCTGTATTTACAGGCCCCCAATACAAGCGGGGTAAAGGTAGAGAATTATATATAAAAAAACTCGCCTACCTTAGCGCCAGTGCCATGCTCTCCCAGATCTGGAGAAGCAGCACCTGGTTGTAGCTCACTGCCGAACACGGTATTGGCCCGCTCCCGACGTTCCCACCGGCCTATGTGGTTCCGGTCGGCTTTGAGGTGTGCAGCTGTAGTAGTCGTGGCCGAGCGGCGTTGCTATGCGAGGTGTCCCACCGGTCCTCACATCTCGGCTGTTTAGCCTCCAGCGTCTTTATGCGCCAGACCAGCTTTCCGGAACCCGCCCAGTGCTGTGTATAGGAGGCGGCCACGGCGGTCCCAGCAGCTGACGACGCATTTCCGCATCTCTCACGGCTCTCAGTACTCCCCAGAGGCAGCCTAGAGACGCTATCTTCCCGCGCGAGCCACCATGCGGCCCCGCCTAGCGTCCATCCTTCTGGTAAGTGCCTGGACAGGGGGTCACACACCTCCCACACCACCAGTACTCCCTACATACCGACCCAAAGGGTATACCAGCCTCCGCTCAGGATTTAAACTCCTGCCACTGCTGCACACCGGGGGGGGGTCACCATCTGGAGTCACTCAAGTACAGGAGGATGGTTACCATCCCAGAATGACGGAGGAGAACCTTGGCCTGATCTCGGATGGGGGTCCGATAAGGGATCCCTGTATGCGCTGCAGTAGGCAAAGCTTGGAGTAGGTCCCAACGCATATTAGGGTTAGGCTCTGCCCTGAGGCAAACAAAAATTTGCCCTAAAAACAACAAACATTACGATGTCCCTGTGTAGCCGGAGGAACACACAAAAAAACTGAATTGGGGTGGAAGGAAGTGCCTTTTTATTTAATGTGGTTGATGTGTTTCCTGTTGCAGGCAGGCGTAGCCTTCTCTCATTGGCTGTCCTGGAAGATGACTGGGGGAAATCCTGTGCACATTTTCTTGAAGTCAACACTTAAAAGACTTAAAAGAACTGTAAAGTGTAGCTCAGCGTCTAATCTGTACATTACTGCAAAGTGTGGTTGCTCCAGAAGAAAGCTCTATGAGTGATCCCTGCTGTCTTGGGAATGCCCCTCTAAAGCAGTTTCCTCACAAAGTAGCAAGCTTTATTGGTTTATCCGGCCTTAACTTTACAACACTAAATCTACACACCGGGTTACAAAACCATATTTATTTAAGCAGTGTAAAAATGTACAAAATGACCAGGGAGGGAGATGAAGCCTAAATCTTGATGTTGTTTAAGTCCATAAAGCAGAAGCTCATTTTAAAAGAAAGTGTCCAATGTCATACGTATTCTCCACAATCTGAGATAATGACTTTCTGTTTAGGCTTTCCATCTTTGTTTCCTTGTGCCTATAAAAAAAATGACAACCCAAAATACAAGCATTAGTGGATTTACACTAAAAATCAAGGTGACGGCTCAAAGAAAAGATAGTGTTACAAATGAAGAAAGATAGGAAATCCTCGGTCTCACAAAATATTCATTAAAAAAAAGCACCAATACTGACCTCAATCTGACGCACCACATCCATTCCCTCCATCACTTCTCCAAACACTACATGTTTCCCATCAAGCCAATCTGTCTTGTCACATGTGATATAGAACTGGGAGCCATTTGTATTGGGACCAGAATTTGCCATAGAAAGCAAACCTATCAAAAATAAAAACAATGTCTAGAATGGAACCAATGTTGTCTTTTTCCCTTGGTATACCATTAAAGTGACATTAAACTCAAATTTTTTTTTTGACAGATGGCAGCACCAAGCATACATAAATACATACCAGTTGGTGCCAGCACAACAAAATTATGATGCAATATAGTATTCATATAAATATCAATGCAATCTACCTTTTGGAGCCCCTTAACCTAACACATTTGATTCAACACCTTGGTAAAAGGGAGCCCAATTAGTCCCAAAATGTTCATAGATTGTAGATTTATTTGGAATTAAACTTAACTGCATCACTCACCCATTATGACTAGTGATGCACCGATATATCGGCCGAAAATGGCACTTTGGCATAATGCCGAAACTGCCATTTTCCTGCTGATACATCAGCACATCCCTGCTTTCTCTCCTACCCGCTGCTCTGTGTCCCAGCGAAGAGGAGAGAAAAACGACAGTCGGCCAAGCTCAGCGGGAGGAGAGCGGTGTGAGCGGCCGGCGTCTCCTCCCACACTGCCTCAGCCTCCTATAACAGTCCGGCAGAGCAGTGTGTGGGTGGAGACAGGCCGTGCTGTCACTGGAGGCTGAGCTCTCCTCCCTACACCGCTCGATCAGCCTCTTGTGACAGCGTGTCAGAGAGGAGAGCAAGGTACAAACACTCAGTGATCATTAATCGCTGAGTGTTTGTACTTAATTGAGGACATGGTATGTGTACTATATCCTCAATTATGAATGAATGGGAGTGATCTACATCACCTCCTGTTCATTCATAGTTATAGTAAACACACAATGTCCTCATATTATCAATGAACAGGAACACTCAGAGGATTCCTGGTCATTGATAACAGGGGACACAGAAAAAGTGTGTCCCCAGAAAAAGTATTTTAAAAAGGAAATATCAGTGGTCAGTTTAGACCCCCAATATTTCCACGAAGCCCCTAAAAGAAATGTAAAAAATAAAAACATATTTAATTAAAAAAAATTAAAAATGTTTTTAAATTTTATAAAAAATAAAAATATTAAAAAAAAATAAAAATAATTTTCGGTTTCGGCCTGACAATTTTCTTTATTTCGGTTTAGTTTTAAAACTTCCATTTCGGTGCACCTCTAATTATGACATTTTTATTTTCCTGGCCAATCACTATTGCATCCCAACCTCCCATTTTACATACAAGCAGTACAATGTAGGAATTCCATATTATGTGGAAACAATGTGGCGCAAGCTTAGAATTCACATTTCATTTTAATACAATCCGATGCCTGCTTCTCGAAAATCCAAGCATTTAAAAAAGGTTTCCCCCCTTTTTTCCCCCCACTTGGTCTGCATGCTAGTTATGGCTCTAGATAAGTGAACTGCAAATTGCTATTGAATAAACATGCTTACACACCTGGTTCTGTGTGTTTCAGAATGAAGTTCTCATCATCAAACTTCCTTCCATAGATAGATTTCCCTCCTGTACCATTGTGGTTTGTGAAGTCTCCTGCCTGACACATGAACTGTGGGATGACTCTGTGGAAGCTGCTACCTTTGAAACCAAATCCCTTTTCATGAGTGCAGAGGCAGCGAAAGTTTTCTGCAAGGTAGAAAAATAATATGAATGCACAGCATAATTAGAACTCAAAGTCAAAGATTTCCAAAAAGGACAAGAAGTACCATCTTTAGGCACAAACCTACCTATACATACTATTTCAGAACAAAGAAAACTACTTGGGTTAATTCTCCAAGGGTTGGTGTGCACTTTTTCTGAAAACCCAGAGTGGTTTGCAAACAGAGAAAAAAAAAAGGATTTCGGACTTACTGTAAAACCTTTTTCTTGGAGTTTAATAAGGGACACAGAAGAATTATGAGACATTACGGTTATACTGCAGCCTACAGGATAATTTGAGCAGTAGTAGGAGTGGTTACAAGATGGGTGGGACCTGCGTCCCTTAATGAGCTCCAAGAAAGGGTTTTACTGCACAACCCCAATTCCAAAAAAGTTGGGGCACTGTGTAAAATCTACATAAAAACAGAATGCAATGATTTGCAAATCTCATCAACCCATATTTATTCACAATAGAAAACATATCCAATGTTTAAACTGAGAAAGTCACATTTCAAGAAAAAGAAAAAAAAAAAAGAAGGTAATTTTGAAGTTGATGGCAGCAACACTAAAATTGAGACAGGACCATGTTTACCACGGTGTAGCATCCCCTCCTCTTAACAACACTCTGTAAACGTCTGGGAACTGAGAAGAGTTGCTGGAGTTTGGGGAGAGGAATGTTGTCCCATTCTTGCCTTATGTAGGATTCTAAATGCTCAGCAGTCCTGGGTTGTCTGTCGTATTTTGCGTTTCAAGATGTGCCAAATATTTTCAATTGGTGAAAGTTCTGGGCTGCAGTGAGGCCAGGTAAGCAACCGGACTCTTCTACAACGTTGTCATAGATGCAGTATGTGGTTTAGCATTGTCCTGCTGAAATATGCAAGGCCTTCCCTGAAAAAGATGTTGTCTGGATGGGAGCATACACTGCTCTAATACCTAAATATATCTTCCAGCATGGATGGTGCCTTTCCAGATGTGCAAGCTGTCCATTCCATACGCACTAAAGCACCCCCATACCATCAGAGGTACAGACTTTTGAACTGAGCACTGATAACCTGGAAGGTCCCTTTCACTATGGGGGGGGAATTTATCAAAATTGTAGCAGACAGAATCTGGAGCAATTGCCCTTTGTAACTAATCAGCTTCTCTCTTTAGTTTGTTTAGTTAAGCTTTGAAAATGAAAGATAGTAGCTGGTTAGTTGCCATGCAAAGCTGCTCCAGTTTTGATAAATTCCCCTCCATATGTTTACGTATTACCAGTCACACAGAGTACCGAACATTGAAGAGAAAAAAAAAAGAAAAAAGAAAAAAAAAGACTGGGAATGTATGAGATCTGGAAGAAGATCAACACCACAGCCAGCAAATTCAGAGGAAAGTCAGCATTGGTAGTCATACTACATCTAATAATAAACAAATAAATAAACACATTTTGGGGAATCCATCTGGGAAAGCAGACTTAGACTCAAGCAAACTGCCTTCCAACAGTGTGAGACAAATCTGTTATCAATGATATATCATTTACAGAAGACATTCTACAAATTCTCTTTTGCCTAGGCTCGTTTTGTCGTTATGCAGTGTGGTGTGACTGAAAAGTGGCCACCATATTACTGAAGGTCCAGCTGTTATCCACTCTTCCTGTTCCTTGACGACACTGGTGATAGCCAGTAATCAGAGGCAGGAGTAGGTGGGATATGCCTCTGATGATGTCAAAGTTTTGATAGGCTTATGTAAGTCTAGAAGAAAGGAGTGTGCCTAATCACTGTCACACACGAGTAAGTGCTCTGCTGCTTCTAATAGGGAATTATATGCTAAAGATAAACATTTTTTACTGATTGCTTTGCTATATGCAACGGTGCTACGGAATGCTTGTTACACAGCCAAACTGTAGCTTTTTAGTATTGGTTCAAATCTAATTGTGCCCCCCCCCCAAAAAAAAAACTACAACATCAGCTTGGGGCGGCCTAGTCTTTTCTCAGCACCTTTATCATACATTTAATATAGCCACTGATTTCTCATTACACAGAGAAAGGTTTTGCATAAGGGAGCAATGTGTGTGTCTATGAGACATCTCATTCAGGAGCTTACCTACTGTCATTGGAACAACATCAGCACGCAGTAAAAACCTAATACGCCCAGCAGGCTTGTTTCCAATTTTGATGTCCATGTAAACTTGAGGATTGGCTCTAACTTTTTTAGCAGGCGGCTCTCCCTATGAGAAAAAAAAAAGAAAAGAAAAATGGTGTACATTAGCACATATTAGGATTATATTCACAGAAGCACATATTAAAAATTTAAATATTACAAGATTTTAGTGGAAATTCAAAGTGAATGTTAGCAAATCAAAGTGAGCATGTGGTGAAAAAAAAAGAAAAGATAAGTTTAACCCTTTCCCTGCCACTGTCGTAAGGCATACGGCGGAACACAACTGTTTCCAGCTAGCCGCATCAGCATGCCTTACACCCTTCTGCTATAAGTGGGACCATGAGCTTATATCAGAAGGGTTCTCTTGACAGTCCCCTGTAAATTAATAGCTGTCATGCGCTGCTGGCATCTATTCATTAAAATTCACCCCCACAATCTGACAGCCTCTCCTGCCCACCTGGAACCGCTACATGCTCCGATCTGTGTCCTCTCGGATCCCTGCTGTTCTCCCCAGCCTGTATGGGCAGAGGCAGCTGGGATCTGAAAAGTAACAGACCACTGCAGCCATCGGGGGGAGGAGACAGCTGTCAAATTCAGGATGCCGACCGGGGAGAAAAGAGCAGGAGAGTCAAGTTTCAGGATGGAGAGCAGGTCTGTCCGTGGCCAAGCGGTTCAGGATGCGGTGCTGAGGATCGGTGAAAATGTGTAATATTTACCAATCCTTCTCTGTGCACAACAGACACCGTAGTGTTCACCGATTCCTATTCCTCCTCAGTTCATGAATGAATAGAATGCCTCTGTACTGAGTGCTTTCTGTTCATTCAGAACAGCTGCAGAAAAAGAGATTGAGCACTCTGCGTCCTCAATTTATTTTTCAATTTCAAAAGGGAAATGTTAGGGGTCTGTTTAGACCCATGATATTTTCCCAAAGTCGAACCCCTCCCACAAAAAGGGGAAACCCCCCCCCCACACACACACACACACTTTGCAGTAAGGTTGTCCCTCACATTAAAGGGCAGTAGGAGGCTTGGTGGCAAGTAGATGGGGCCAAGCTCTACTTACAGAAAAAGAAGACATTTACAGGATTATTCACAAAAGGGTGAAGAGTCTGGAGAAGGGAACAATCTAGGACAACATAGCTGAACTGGAAAGTGAGCTGGATTGGAGAATTTTTCCAAATCAGCTATTTTGGCCTAGATTGTTCACTTTCTGTCTTCTCCAAAAACTCTTCACCCTTTTGTGAATAACCCTGTTAATTTCCACTTCCTACATTGTAGAATATATTAATATGAAGTGTAGTTCTCGCTGAAGGTAACTTTTACATCATATATCATTTATGACCTAAAATATGGAGTCAGAAGTTTAAAAACCTAAGGAATTATAGTATGTATTAATAAAGGACTGCACGATAAAAGTGTTACCTCCTCTGCTGCTGCTTTGGGCGCTTCTGTCCCCTCAGCTTCTTCATTCTCTTCTAGAGTTTTCCCAGAGAATCTCTTGAGCCAGTCATCGTCAGACCACACTAAAAGCAATATAGAGAATATAGCTGAAGAAGAAAGTCTTGTTGAAAAGTACAGAAGCCTATTTATACAAATAAAATACAGAAGGAAAAAAAAAAAAAAAAACCTGATGTGCTGCCGACATGTGCTTTTTACATAGTTTCTTCTAGTGCAAGTTAGAGAACAAAAAGTAACATTGAACTCTCTGCAAAGCACAACTGCACATTACCCTTCCCTTCTGGTTTATAAAAGCACCCAGACACATTCATACATACTAACCTGCTTTAGAAGAACCTTCCTTCAAACGCATAGGTTTTGCCAAATTCACTCGTATTGTTCTTCCAAATAATTCTGATTCATTCTAGACATAAAAGTCAGCATTAGTTGACATCAACTAAAGATACTGTATTTTACAGCCATTTGTTACCATAAATATCATTTCACCAAAAATTTCTCTGTAAGTGAAGAAACTGCTTAAAAAAGAAGGTTTTGTTCAATTAACTCTTTTATTAAACCCGTACACACTGCACCACCTAGAGGCTATTAGTATGTATTACATTTTGATGTGAAACAGGCTATGAAACACATGACATTTAGGCACAAAAGAGAACCTGGCTGCAAAAAAAAAAAAAAAAAAAAAAAAAAAAAATCAATACTGAGGCTTACATTAGCATCCAGATCTACTGAAAATGTTTTATAGTTGCCTGTCCTTTTTAGCTTTATTTAACAATTATGTATGACACTCCAGCTTGTTTCAAGAGAGGCAAAGGTCATGCAATTTTCATCTGTTGACTGCCTGACACACTTGAAACAGTGTGTGAGATTAGGCAGGGCAGCAACTATTAGACTTTAAGGGGTCTATTCACAAAGCTGCCGAAGGATCTGGCCGTAGCTTCGGCTAGTGTCAGAATAAAGAAAAAAAAAAGACGCAGTGGGGTTTCTCTTCTTGGCGGCCGGGAGCGGGGGGCTCCCAGAGCGCCCGGGAGATTTAAAAAAAATGTTTTTTTTACAGCAGCAGAGCCGCCGGACAATAGGAAACTATTGGGCGGAGTTAGCTGTCACTGCTAGCTCCGCACAATCGTTTTCTATTAACTTTATTCTACGTTTTTCACTCTTTTTCTGTTCTGCTCGGTGCCTCTGAGGGACCGAGCAGAACAGCCGAGCCAAATGCCGCTCGGCGGCATTCGGCTTTTCTCTCACTGCTGTTCGGGATCTTTCAGAATAGCCCGAACAGCAGTGTGAAGCCTGCCGGAGGTTCGGCTCAGCCGATCCAGATGTTGGATCGGCTGAGTCGAACTCCTTCTGCACTTCGGGTCAGCCGTACATGCTGAGCATGTTCGGCTGATCCGAAGCCACACGAAGCAAGCCGATGTACGGCTGAAATCAGCCGTACCAGCCTGAAGTGAATAGCCGAACAATGTTCGGCTCACTTCACTTCTGATCGGTCATTCACTAGGCTGCCCTCGGCAGCTTTGTGAATAGACCCCTAAGTGACCTTTGGCCTTCCGAGCACTGTGCCTTCTGCTAGGAAGGACTCTCAATTCCTGTCATTGAGACATAGTACATGAGATAAAAATATCTCCAAAGTGAACAGCATTCCCATTTTACAGGTGTGTCACCTGAACCAGTGTCCCCACTGAATTGAATCTCTTGTTCTGACAATCATTACGATTTTTTCGAATTCCCCTCACTTTCAGTCCTGCTACCAATAGCCACCAGGGTAAATGGAGAAGTGAATACCCCCACCCCAGCAGGAAAACAGACCGCAATAAAAATCTGACAGAGTGTCTATCCCTTTGCATACACATGAACTTGTATTCAAATGACAGGTCAAGGTCAGATATTCATCACGCGATACTAGGGATGCACCGATATATCGGCCGAAAATTGCACTTTTGGCTAAATGCTGAAAGTGCCATTTTCCTGCTGATACATCGGCGCATCCCAGGTTTCTTTCCTCCCCGCTGGGCGCTGCTCTGTGTCACAGCGGGGAGCAGAGAAAGTGTGACGGCCGGCCGAGCGCTGCAGGAGGAGAGCGCTGTGTGCGGCCGGTGTCTCTCCTCCCACACGGCTCAGCCTCCTATCACAGTCCGGCAAATCGGTGTGGGGGCGGAGACAGCCCGTGCTGTCACAGGAGGCTGAGCTCTCCCTCCACACCGCTCACTCAGCCTCCTGTGACAGCGTGTCAGGAAGGAGAGCGGTACAAACACTCAGTGATCAATGATCGCTGAGTGTTTGTAGAAAATTGAGGACATGGTATGTATACTATAACCTCAATTATGAACGAATGGGAAGTGATCTACATCCCCTCCTGTTCATTCATAATTGTAGTTATAGTAATCATACTATGTTCTCATGTCATCAATGAACAGGAACACGCAGTATAGAGGATTCCTGTTCATTGATAACAGGGGACACAGAAAAAGAGATTGAGGACTTTGTGTTCTCAATCTTTTTCTATTTTAAAAAGGGAAATATCAGGGGGTCTGTTTAGACCCCTAATATTTCCCCAAAGCCCCTAAAAGTAAAGTAAAAAATATTATATAAAAAAATGTATAAATATAAAAAAAATGAAAGTTTAAAAAAAATTAAAATATTTGAAAAAAATTTAAATAAAAACATTTTCGGTTTCAGCCTATTTTTTATTTCAGTTTTTAATTTCGGTGCACCTCTATGCGATACCCAGTCATATCGCTCTAAATGTTACAATGAATGTTTCCACTGTGCAGCTGAGAGAAAAATATTTTGCTATGCACTCCAGATTTATTCAGTCTATTGTTAAAAGTCACTGTATTTTTAGGGTTTAAGTTTATGTCCTGTATTTGAAAAAGACAATCAGTACTATCATAACCATAATACAGAGACAGTAGTCCATACCATGTTATCAATAGCTGCGGCAGCATCCTGTAATAAATACAAAAAAAAAAAAAGTTAAAGCAATAACTGTTCAGCACAAATCAATGCTCAACCACCCAAAGACTAGATCTTATTCCTCATGCATGTACTAAAATTCAGTACTTTTTCACCCCACATGGTCAGGTCTTACTGCTATGGATTTCTTATGGAGACTGACGCTTGCAGTATGTAATGATTGCAGTGCCCTCACAAGGTGCAATGCTTTTCCACCAATTATATGTGAATGAACAAAAGCATAAAACTTTATAACTGAAGCTTTCAAAGCTTGGGAAAATACTAAAAAGTATATGCAAGGCCTCATTCAGATGGGCAGCAAGCCGACTGGCCGCCCAAAAGTGAAGGTGGCGGCTACTTAGGCTTGTATACATGCCACAAATTTTGAAAAGGATGTCATGTTTAGCAGGTGGTGCCACTTGCCAAATACAACCATTGTAATCAATGGGACCGCACCGCAACCGTGTGGGAACAGGGTTGCAGTGCAGTATTCCACTTGAAAATCCCCAGATCGATGGAAAATAAAATTAAAAAAAAGAAGAAAAAAAACCCCATGGCATTCAGGAGGCAGTAGTATAGTCTCCTGAACAATGGGCAGCTGCTGCTCTACCACCCCTGCCTTTCAGAAGTGGATTGCCTATCAGAGGGGCAGCTGAGCCTAATGCCCATCTGAACGAAGCTTATATATAAAATAATCAAAACCCACAGTGTTAGGTAAAACACAGTGATTTGTGTTGGTTAGTCGACCCAGAAAGTATCTGCAAAAATTGGCAAATAAAAGAAATGATGCCCACTGACCTCTGGAAGCTCAAACTCCACAAAAGCAAATCCTCTGTGCTTTTCTAAACAGGAAAAAAAAAAATTATGAAAAACGATTTTATATGAAACATGAGAGCAGAATGAATTCAAATACCCCAAGCTGATACGGAAAATATTTATGGCTTGCTGAACACACTCCATTATGTAAAAAGAGCAGTTTGGTGGCAGGAATACCATATTGTATTATGCAAAATGTGTCACACAAGCAAGATAGGCATGTTGCAAAGGAAAAATCACTATTTTTTAAATTTATTCAGCAATTACTGACCATACAGCAGTGAAAATTCAGCAGGTTTTTTGGTTTTTTTTTTTTTTTTAAACACCAACTTTTTTTTGGGCAATTTTACACCATGTCCATTGAGCTGCTCCTGAAAACCCATGGCATTCAGGAGACAGTAAAATAGTCTCCTGAACGATGGGCAGCTGCTGCTCTACCACAGATCTATGTGCCCTGTTCACACCATACATGTGCAGAACACTACAGATCAAACAGACATGGTATGAACAAACCCTCAGTCTTGCATTTTGGGGGGGGGGAAAAAAGAAGCCTTTATTACATTTATAAATAACGTTCTGAGGCTTTGTACCAGAATACAAATTTCAGTCATTTCAAGTGGGACAAATGATGGAATAAAATGCAGCCAGGCGGGATTGAGGATCAGATGAATATTTTGTTAATTTATCCCCTAGACCAGGGGTGGGCAACTCCGGCCATCAAGCTGTTGTGGAACTACAAGTCCCATGAGGCATTCTAAGACTCTGACAAGCATGACTCTGAGGCATGTTGGGATTAGTAGTTAAAGCACAGCTGAAGGTCTGAATTTTCCCGCCCCTGTCCAAGACCAAAACAAGAAGTTAATCCTTGCAGTGCAGAGGTAACCCCGCTGTAAGAGTTAATGTTTTAAACTCCTGAAGTTCCTCTTTAAATGCACTTTATTCCCTGGTTCCACCAGCTGAGCTGTAAAGTGCAGAGGATGATCTCAGTTAGCTATGTACTGACGTTATTACAGCCTCACTGAGCTCTCACCTGTCTCATAGTCCAGAGGGATCTGTATGTCTGTAATATCTCCAAATGGGATGAAGGCTGCATGCAGGATCTTCTCATCCACCTCCTCGGCCAGTCCTCCTGTGGGTGAGAGGAAAGAGCAACGAATAGATTACATCCCGGCCGTATAGGACATGGACTGCCTCAGCTTTCCCAGCCTAACATAAGTAATACCAAACGTCCATGGTTAACATCCTGCAAACCGGCTACAAAACCAAACTTAGATGATACACACGTGTCAGTCCTAAAAAATATATATTACTAACCAACATATAAAACCCGCTTGGCGGCCGCCATATTGCTCTGTCATGTGGTTACCTTTCCCCTCTGACCTATCAGCAGCGAGGTACGACATCAAGAGGTGGAGAATTTCCCGAACACTAGAGGGAAGCACCAAGTCAAGCGCCGTGTCTCCTCTCTACAGGCTTCACGTTTCAGGAGACAAACCCGCAGCAGTGTGTTTGTTTGAGGTATTATAATGTCTGTAATTAATGTTTATAACATGAAAAACACAGGGTGAAAGACAAAAAGTATTTACTATATGGGAAATTATGGACCTCTACACAATGAAAGGGGAAAAGAGATATAATGCCCTTCCAAAATAAAATTGCAAACAGGTGGAGTTTTTTTGTTTGTTCCCAGAACTGACATATATGTCCCCAAGGCCATCCCTGTAATGAGGCAGCCTGAGGCTATCACCTCAGGCGGCATCTCTTAGGGTCCGCCCAGCTCTTAGCAACCTTGGATGCTCTGGCTGATATCCCGCCCAGCTCTTGGCAACCAGTAATGTCACTGGCCAACAAACGGGCGGGAGTCGGGACGCTGGACAGAGTCGTTTGGTATAAACAACCTGCACCCCTGCCCCGGTTAGCAGGCACCACCGCCACCCCTCACCCTCCCGGTTAGTGTACACCACCGCCAAATGCCCCCTACTCCCCCCACTGCAGGCTGCAAAAAGGCTACGGATGCCCCTGTATGTCTCTTTTGCCCCAAAACTCCTTTTCTTGTCTGCTAGTATTGTTTTTGAAATTGTACCTGTGTGCCTGTGCCATATGTTAGAGTTCAGTAGAGTATCAGGACAATGTAGCTCCAGCACACATGCATGAGAATTACATCACTATGGGCCTCCCCGACAGGCAAAAAAACGTTTTGAAAAAAGGCATAGTTGCCAAGAGTCTCGGACTCTACTGTAGAGTCCTTGGATCTTAAACACTTTCCAGCAGGCTGTAATGCATGATTCAGGACACTTGGAACTTTGCAGAGCGGCCGAGGGGTGCTGGAACACAGGCAGAGTGATCTCCTGTCCGACAGTCACAGTAAAGTCCCCGCAGAGGTAGAACAGCAGTGGGGGAATGTGGGTTCATGTATGTAACAACTGACCCCCAATGCTTATTTTTGCTCCCACTGACTTGAGGTTAATTATTACAAACCCCACAATTACTACTTAGTTTAATGCCAGACATGTTTTTGCCCTGTAAAGCAAAATCACTTTTTTAATTTAGAAGCCTCATGGTTATTGAAATGAAAACATTACTTCCAATTCTCTATCCTAAAAGAGAAATTCCAGTTACCATCTAAATCTCTATGTAAAAAAATTGCAGTAGCAGTTCTACTACTAAAGGACAAATGTCAGCCAAATTTAAATACAGTAAATGTTATAAATATATAAAAATATAATAAACATTCAACAATTCATGAATTTTGTGTCATTATTAGTTCTTTCTTAGAAAACCGTGATGCCCTGGATCATTAGTCTCACAGGGTCTGTAAAACAATTCAATATTGGTGACAACACCGTGAAAAATTATTGGTAATTGATGAGATGTGTTCATGAAAAATATAAAATATGATCAAAGGGAAAGTTCCGTGGATTTGTGTTGGGGATATGGGTCAGTGCCACACGTCTCCCCTCAAAGGGTGCACTCACCGTTAAGTAGTGGCTGTGGTAAGCAGCCGGAAGCGCTCAGACAAAGGCTCCTACAGCCGCAGCATCCATCCACTCTCTTGCTCCGGTCTGTGATCAGTGGGTGATGTTTTCTTTTGCTGCTGTGGTTCTGCTGGCACCTGTGGTTCCACAAGCATGTGGTTTCCCCTTTCTTTCTGTTAGCAGCTCAGTTTTCTTAGTTTTCTAAGAAAGAACTAATAATGACACAAAATTCATGAATTGTTGAATGTTTATTATATTTTTATATATTTATAACATTTACATATTTATTCGTTTTATATATAGTTTTATATTTATATGCTTTGTCATGAAGGAATTTTATATGTATGGATGATATATTCATTTCACACTTGTTATTTGTGTGGTTCACGATTCAATCACAGTTCATTTTTACACTGACACATTTATTGTGGGCGTGGCATATTTAAAGTTTCATAGTATATGACTTGAAGGTCAGTTTTGCTGCAGCCCTCAAATTATTCTCTTTTGTAATCACATTTAGATCACTTACACTTCACTGATCCAGCGAGAATATAACATTTAAATACAGACCTCAGACAGACATTTAAATTCTCTCATCCAAAACATCCCTTTGTGTATAAATGGGAACAAATCCTCGGACAAGAACTGGATGGGTATGGCACAATGTCAGCAAATCTTTGATTTGTGCTGTATACAAGCAGAACCAGTAGAAAATATTATTTCACTGGTATCACACCTGAGTTTCTAAACTCTTATCAACCCTGCTGAACCCCAGATGATTGGTGATGCAACTCATCCTTAGGCTTCTTGTTTCATATATACCTACGTATTCCTGCAGCAAAAATCCCAGGTAGACTGTTCAAATGTGACTGCTGTCATTTACTTTGCTAGGTACAACGGCCGCATCTGAACAGGGACACCTGGCATTCCTGCCACAGAAATAAGTAGTTTCTTGCCGCAGGAATGGCAGATCGCCCTGTGTGAATGGAGCCATAAGGAAACTGACTAATTATGTCCTAACACCTGCAAGTTGTTTCATTGCTTTAAAATGGAGCAGCCAGAGCCCCTTCTAAAGGTGCCCATACACCTTGCGATTATCATTCGATTTCCGAACGATAATCGGCCAGTTGATGGGAAGTCAATGATCATAATTACTGTAAAACTGGCCGAATTTCGTCTATCGGGCACTTTTTTTCTAAACAAACAAAAATCGATGGATTAGTGGCCTTTTCGTAGAAAAATACACATGTGCAAACGAAAATTTGTTCTGTCGATCGACATAATTTGGTCAGTTAGTATTGCTAATGAACAATAATCCACATTGGTCTGTGCATGATGGGGCAGTCGTGCGGAAATCAAACGATGATTCGATGAAGGCACAAAAAATATCTAACGATCGTTGTAAGATGTATGGGCACCTTTAGTCTGAACTTTACATTAAAGAGGAACAAAACATGGAATACCTTTCTGCTCGACGAAATAACACTATCAACATATATGACTCTGTCTGGGAATTATGGCACAACATAGAAATCCCGGTTCTCCTTGCACAATATTAATACTTGACTTCTACTATTTTAAACTGAATGAGAAGTGCTTTAGCCATAGTGCTGTGTTGTGGTTTTGGGACCATCTGGGGCCACGGGTTACAAGGAGAGACTGGGACCCAGTTTCCTCCCACACTTACCATCCCCTCTCCTCTTTCTTCTAAACCAATCGACTCTTACATACAGGAAGATCTTTTGAGCATTTGATTTCTATTACTATATAAGGTAAATAAGACATAACACTATTGTGTGATATAATATGTAGAAAGAATGCTTTATTGTGTACAATGTTATGATGTACTGTATATACAATGCACAAGCAATCTTGATCTTTGTTGCACTTGAATATGTAAAATCGTGCTCATCTGTGCTCTTGTAAAACAAGAGAAAAAAGAGCAAACAAACAGTTTAAACAAAAAAAAAAAAAGAGGATAAAACACATATTAACACAATGTACTAGAGCAGAGAGGTGTCAGTTGTGCCTCAAATAGCGGATGAAGTGGACAGGCCTTTTCAGCTTTAGGGGGCTGTGAATGACTCAAGGCTGTAGACAGCCGTCTGATCTTCCAGATGCAGAGCAGTATGTACTGCATCAATAAGGACCAAAACAGTTTCTTGTACATCTCAGGTGATGACAGGATACTATGATTCCTCAAACCCAATCTCATCAGAGAGACTGTGGGGACTCTGAATCAGAGTCAGACACGGTAACTGTGACCTGTGGCCCGACCTTTTCTAAGGCTGTGGGGAGATCAAGAATTGGCTCTGCAGAGGAAGTCGTGGGAATGTGCTTAGAGCCTCTGTGGTCAGCACCACAAGGAATCTTGTGGATTTGGTCATAGTCTTGTGTGACTGCAAGGTTCTGACCTGACGGCGCTTAGTGGGACTCCAATGAACTGGAATGGAACAATGAAATGGACTTCAGTGTCAACAGCCTCCATAACCACTGCCACTTATTGTCTCTGTAGAGTATAACAGTTAAGTGCTTGGACCTTAGAAGATGGGGGTAGACCCTTAATAGCTTGTCCAGAAAGTTTAACTATCAGGACACTGTCCGAACAAGCGGGGGACACAGGCAGCGTGTGTACTATAAAAATGTCATGATTTGCATATTGATGAGTTGCCAATTTATAAATAGGTCTCCTAGCGAACTGTTTTTTTAGCAGCAATTTGAAGCAGATTATTTGAAAGGGGGAAAAAATCGATCTCTTGGGGACTCGATTGGTGAGATCTCTGAATTCCTGGGTCTGAATGCCTGCTGTACTCAATATGTGGCATTGCCATCATCCCTGCTGAATTTGCATTCATTTTAGTGTGTCTTCAAATGCAGAAGTAGATCCACTTTTTCAGGTTTGCTAAATACCTGCTCCCCCTTCCGCTGGCTTCTACGTCCTGTAGTAACATACAAGCTGGTGAGAGAAGATACAGTGTACATTAGGAGGAACAGGTATTCTGCACACCTGTAAGTGTGGTTGTTTACCTGCAGTGCAGCAAAGTGGCGTGACACCACAAAAGGTTAGTATATCGCCTTTTCTGTTACAGGCTGGGCTTCTTTTACAAGTGACCCTGTGGTGATAGGGTTACTTTAACTGACCAATACAAATGTTACACTAAGGGCATATTAACATGGGTGTGCACATCTGTACGGCGTGCATGTGCAGTGACCTGTTACTGGGAGCGACAGGTGCGGTGTGTAATTGTATGCAGCCATCCCTATGTGAGGACATGGCTACACGCAGCTACATCCTGACTTGAATTTGCACATCAGTGCAGGTCCGGGTGCTCACAATTGGATGCAAACTGTGTGATTCATAGTAAGTGCATTGGATTGCATTTTCTCACCATCTACAGCAACAGAAACAACATAAGGACCTGCAATATAGTATGATATCATGCTGGCAATGCATATAGCTGACCTGAAGTGGAATATTTGGGAGTGAGGGCAGGAAAACAGACATGCAACTATAGCAACCTATATTCATTTGTATTGTTCTAATGGGTCAAAGCTGATAGAAATAGCATCCTATTGATTGATATGGGTTATTGCAATTGTTACAATGCTGGCCTAGAGGAACCATTGACTCCCAAGCACGAGACAAACCAAATGCTTATAACAAGAAAAATAACATAACATTTTATTAGCAGTTACTATATAAACAAAGTATAAAACATGGACACCCACTGCATGGGGCTCTTCTTCATTATTATCATATATAGTCATAAGGGCAGAGTGTAAACATTATACACCATGTGAATCGTAGAACCTCCCGTAAGCAATTTCAGGGAAAGGCTGAAACCTCTGTCAGGTTTTATAGCGGACTGTGCTCATGTTGGGTCAATTGTTTAGTGATAATTAGTCAAAAGTGGGATGCCCCTACTTTAGGGAAACGTCCTCTCATGTCCTGGTGTATCACTGTGAAAAGCAGTGAGGGGAAATGTACCCATTGGGGACAGAGAAGGCAATAAATATGACAGTTTCTAAACCTTCTCTTCACTATCTAAAGCCAAAAAAACAAGTTGTAGTTCTAGTCTACAGTGACTATGTGCTGGCAAAAAACTGATCAATACACCAACAGCTGTAACCGCAGATACCATAAGCTCAGAGACAAATTCAAGCATAATGGGGCAATCTGGCAAAGTAGCAGCTTTACCCCCCCAGCCAGAACTGCATTGAGGGAGTATCTGGTGTGCCGGGAGCTTCAGCAGGAGATCAAGGTACTGGACAGCGCAAGGGAACAGATATCCTCTATACTGACAAATGACCATTTGTCAGTATAGTCACTTTACGTTACACGATTGTCTATCACATTCATTGAACTGTATCATAAAATCAGCCCCATCTGTGGTGTCTTCTGGTGTTTCATCCACAGCAAGTTGGGACATGTGACTTTCTACAAGTCCCATCATGCCTCATGTTACTGGTAGCCAATGATGTACAGCAGCAGACAGTGCTATATGTATAGGTTGCTCTGAACTTCCGTAGTTATCACCGTCTTCTGCAGGGTTTCTGCAATTTTTTCGGATTTCTGGAGAGAAAAAAAAGATAACAGTTTGAAATAATGGTTGAAAGTCTTACTTAAACCTTTCAGTTAGCCCTTGTCTGCATAGTGTACACATACACAATTCTGCTCTTTCTTGGCACTGTCACTGCACAAGCCATGCTGCAAGCAATTGGACAAGGAAGGATAAACTTCCTTGTCCAATTGCTTGCAGCATGGCTTGTGCAGTGTTTCGTCTTATGACCAAACCTGTTAACATCATCATTCTGCAACTTTGCATCTGGCAAAACTGCTAGCAAATTCCTGTCTCAGAGTGATGATGCAAACACCAGTTCATTATTTAACCGTCAGCTTGTCCATTCAGCCTCCACCCTTGTGTGTGTTCTGATCTACCAAGTGCTCTGCAGTTGTTCCTGTTCTGTGTGTATGACCCTGCCTCTGGCTGACTGATCTCCTGGTTCCAGATTCCCAGCTATTGTTTCTGTTTATCCTGCTCTTAGTGTTCCCTGGCCTAGTCCGGCTGACTACCCGCTTTGGCATCTGACCTCCAGCTTGCCACTGATGAGGTCCTGGACTTTCTCTATTGTTTTTTGCCATTTATGTTTATTGTTGTGATCAATAAACTCCTTTTTATTTTTTTTAAACCTGATTTTTAAGTTTCTGTCTGGTTTCTTGGTTCCCAAGGGCCATGAATCCTGACAGGCACTTACCATTGTTGCTTCACATATGTACAATATTTTCCTAAAATAAACCCCTGCGTTTCGAAGCCACCAGCAATGATCTAATAACCCAAAAGAGTAGGTTGCAGAGATACGTTACTTTTAGGCACCAGCTGCCCATTTGGGAACCATCCTCGGCATTAGAAAAAAAAAATGAAAATTTCAGTATAATCATCCCAAATATCTCCTACCCCTTACACTTAACCTTACCCCTCCACCTAACACTTAACTCTACTTCTCCTCCCTAAAACTTAATCCTACCTCTTCTCTTAACACCTAACCCTACTCCTGTTTTTACCCATAACCCTACCCCTCCGCCTAACATTAAACCATATTCCTCCCAGAACACTTAATCCTATCCCACCCCCTAACAATTAACACTATCTCACCCTCTAACACTGAACCCTATCCCTAATACCTAATCCTATCCCTTGGCTCTACCCTTCCACCAACACTTAAAAGAGAACTATGAGGTGAGTGCTTTTCACTCATCCTCATAGTTCTAGCCGACCTGTGACAATTAAACTGTCACAGGTCGGCTCAGTAGTTTGGGAAGTGAGCGAACACATACCGGCGTTCGCTCACTTCTCGATCCTGTCACGGCAGAGAGCTGTGACAGGGGAGGGACTGGATTCCCCCCTCCGATCCTCCAGCGCTTACTGGCGGAAGGAACGGGTACAGCTGGCTCTGCTTCTAGACAGGCAGAGCCAGCTGTCACTCACGTAGCTGGGCGGATCCCGGCACAATTGTCGGGATCCGTTTCGGCTGCGGCGTCTCAGTATACACTCCACATAAAGTTAAAGAAAACAAAATGTAAACAGTGATAGCTCAGAGAGCATCCAACACAATGTACAGTGCCGGAGCTGCCACAACGCACTAACCTGTCCACTAAAACACAGCAGTTTAGCAGATGGGCTAGTGTGGACAGACCCTCAATCTAACCTTAAACACCTATCTTGGCACCAATGCTTAAAACGTTAAAATGAACCCTTATGATGGGAAAGTTGAACAGAGCTGTATGGAATTATTTGTTAATTGATCCAATAAAACATAGATGCAGATGTGAAAACCTTACCGCAGCCAGAAGACTAATGCTCTGACAGGACAGGATTGGCCGGAAAGCCTCGATGGTGATGGAATCCAGTTTGGTGATGTCAGTGTAGCACTGATAATACAAGGCGGGAATCCCCCACACCTGACAGTACATCATCACTGCAAAAAGCAAAGTTTATAACATGTTTTACTTATCTCCAAATTTATACATAACAGACCACGCTATGGAAAAATTGAGGAACAAGACTTCTGAAAATATTGGGGGCTCTATGACCCCCCCAACAAAAAAAAAACCCAAACCATTAGTGGTTTTATGTATAAAAAATGTGCTAAGAAACTTTGGAGTTGCCTGTAGCAACCCTAAGAACCAGAGGTCTTGCTGCACTCCTTACCGGAAGGAACCCGTATGGATGGGTGCTCGTAGTGACCACGGACGGCACCGTGTATACCATAGAAGAAGAAATAATGTCACCAGCACACCATAGTAGTAAAGTAATAATCCATTTAATGGCACATATGCCTGTAGCAGCCCATCACATTCCAACTGTCATTTTTGCAGTAAAGAAAATGAACAAGGATTCTGAATGGATGCATTTTTAGTACATAAGCCTATATGAGTTATGCCATGAGTCAGAAGTTTTTGAACTCATATTGATGGGCTAATAGTACGGTTGCACAGATACCAAGTACAGTACTCGGTACGAGTACATGTACCGATACTTTTGAGCTCCAAGATTACACTAGAGAAAAATTCAAAAGTTAGGAGGCAGCTGTCATTTGTAAGGAGCACACGGAGCTCTCGGGATTTGTACATCTCTGTTTTAATGTATGATTTTGTTTTTATAAATATAAATAAAGGGATGCACAGATACCAGTTTTGCGAGTACGAGTACTGGTACTTTCCGAGTACTTACAAGTACGAGTACTGATACATTTTTGTTTATTGTCATGTGACAGTTTTTCTAAAACAATACAGACTAATGATTTCAGGACAGCGGTGGAGCGCCAGAGCCTGGTCCCAGCTGCAACCGCTGCAACCCTGGTAGTTCTCATGAAAATGCCGGGTATCTGCACTGGTACTCGAAAAGTATCTGTGCATCCCTAGCTAATAGAGCATCCAGATGCATTCCACTTGCATTTGACATCAGTTTGAGATCATTCATACATTGCATGGTATATACAGTATATGCGCATATTGATAGGTCCATTTGACCTGCATTGGACCTTCTTCTAAGCTGCATCAACCTGCATTTGCATTCTATTTACTTGTGTGAGGAAAGAAGCTATTCTGATGCAAACAAAAGCCAGTGCACACATTTTGAATGGAAGTACCCACACGTGTACAAAAACTAGGATATCTGACAATTTTATAACTGTGCTCTGGAACCCCCTGCTACAATGTGATTGCAGAGCAGGATATTTTGTTTGCATTAATTCCTGCTATGTTGTCACATGGTCCATTCACTGCCCTATAAGCAAACAGGTGACTCAGGAAACTGCAGAGATGAAATAAAAAATAGTGGTGTCACCCATCTAGCTATGCAGAGATGTTTGGACCACATTTACAAATATTCTGCCAGTTAAAATGGATCATATACCGTATAAATAGTATGTATTTCAACTGTGTATTTAGCCAATTACCTGGAGTTCTACGCTAAATATAGCCTTTGCTCTGATCACCTGAAGCTCTGACATATCTACCCAAAAATGTTCCTACCGTATGTCTTGAAGGAGAACTATGGGGTTAAGGCTTTTCCCCATAGTTCTCCTTAGGGTAACGGGAGGACACAAACTAGCGTCCTCCCGTCACCCTAGGCTCAGTATACCGCGAGCTGTAGCGGATCCCGACAATTATGTCTGGATCCGCCCAGCTGCGTGACTGAGCTAGAGGCAGAGCCAGCTGTACCCGCCCCCTCCCGTTCCGCCAGTCAGCGCTGGCGGATCGGAGCGGGGAGAGGGGAATCCAGCCCCTCCCCTGTCAGGGCAGAGAGCCGTGACAGGATCGAGAGGTGAGCGAACGCCGATATGTGTTCGTTCACCTCCCGATCTACTGAGCCGACCTGTGACAGTCTTATTGTCACAGGTCGGCTAGAACTATGAGGTGAGTGAAAAGCACTCACCTCGTAGTTCTCCTTTAAGGAACTTTTGTATTAGCTTTCAATAGGGAATGAAAGGGTTAGTACCCCTGTGAGGTTCTTGTTACTGAAGTATATTTGCCGATAAACAAAAGGCTTAAGGCCCATGGCAGAATTAATTTAGGCTTATGTATAAAAAAAAGTGTTCTAACAAGAAACGTTCTTGCTGCCCATAGCAAATATTCCGAATCTTAGGGAGATTCACCCTCTCTAGCTGTCCTGGTGACTCTTGTGGCACTCGGACTGAAAGTGAGAAAAAAAATCTAACATTTTCTCTGGAACAGAAATAGAGGGGTAATCTTGCAATGGTGGCAGTTTCTACAATGGCAACCATCTAAGAGGGGATTTCCTTTACTTTGGAGAGATTTACTCTCACTTCCTGTTTCATCTTTGGGGCAGCAAGTATAGGGCAATCTCCCCGAAGGCACCCAGATGGCAATAAACTATACTCTAGCCAAAACTAAAAAGGAACACGTTTTGGCTGCAGATATAAACGTCCTTTCCATAAAACACTTTACAAATACTGAGGTCGGTATATTGTGGCTTCATTTAAGAAGAACTCTGTTGCCACAGAAAGCAACCAAAAGGGTTTCTTAATAGACTCCTTGGGCAACATGGACAGCTCTTGTTTTGGATACATAATCCAAAAAAGTCCTTACAATCCTTATGTTTTCAAATATTCTTCTTGCTTCTGACAGCCAATCATCTTATCCAGTTCATAATCACACTGTGCTGAAACAATGAAGTGGGAAGGATGGCTGGTTGTGAATAGCTAAACATATTAAAGAGTGTTTGCCTGCCCAGAGACACCAATCAAAATCCAACAAGATTTTTCTTAGTGGCTGAAAAATGAAATAGATAATCTGATTGGCTGCTACAGACAACACAAATCTTGTTCTTTAGCATACTTGTGTACAGTACATATGAATGTGTGATGTATAGAAAAAGAACAAAACAAAATAATGAATTACCAGCAGCGGGGAGCCCATCCACAATATTCGGCTGCTCCAGAGGGCCGCAAGGAGTACCATCTGTGTAATGGTTTGTCTTGAGTGCCTTCAGAAAGGGAACTGGGAGGTTGTACGTGGATTCTGGAGTTTTAAAGTCAGACACTGGGCAGGTGGACAGGATAGTCACCTTTAAATTGGTCTTCTGTAGACAACCAAGGACCTGTCAGTGGACAAACTCCAAAATCAAGGATGGCAGACAAATGAAAAAATGTGAAAAGCTACACATTACAGCTTGCTTTAAATAACTGAGCAGCCCATAACTCTCACACAGTTCCTATAAAAAGTATTCACCCACTTGGAGATAATCATGTATTGTTTTTGTCATGGAACATTGAATCGCAGTGGGTTTTTTTTTTTTTTTTTCAGTGATAGACAGGAACATACAGACAGATGTTTCCATGAGTTCAGAGTTAAAACAGACCTCTGCAAAGCGTTGTATTAGAGAAAATCTGTGCTTTGCCAGTGCTTTAATGCCAGGTTCACTGTTTCAGTGTTGGAGATGAGGTTCAGAGGCAGACATTTTATGAAAACGACCCCCATGAGCCCGAAGCATTTAAAAGGAGACCCCAGTGCTGACAATATGGATGAAGGCTGGAATGCACTTATATATTTCTGGGCTTTCAGGGAGCTCTGGCTTTTTGTGGACATGGTTTGTCCTATTCATGTACAGTTCCATTTTGTTAGAGTCACTGGAAATGGTAAAGCATCTAAAAAGCAGTACATGTGATTCAGTAGATCTACCCATAGTCTTCAGCATGTACTACACTGTATGTATTTTTACAGCTTTCACTGGAGGATGCTATGATCACCCTTTGAATATAAGAACAGATTCTCACCCACCTTCTCACACCACTGGAACTGCTGGTCCTCTGCCACGTAACAGGAACACTGACACAGCATCACCTGGAACACAACATACCAAACTCAATAACATCCAGAATTGTCCCATGAACAACAGTGCAGACGTGCCCTAATGCTGATCATACATTTGCCAGTTTTGTTGCTTTCAGTAACATTTGTCCATTGAAAATGTCTTTGCTAATGGCTCTAAGTTGGTTCAAATTGATTCTCTAACCAATTTCAATAATTTAGTTGCTGGAAACTACACGGTGACTGAGGTTAAAATCCACCAATTTGCTGTGCATGGCCACACACATGGCAAAGCTGCAAGAGGATGTACAGAAGTTTTGTATATATTTCCTTTCATATATTATGATCCGGACCATAAACATTTAAATCATGTTTTTCTTTTGCAAGTATGAAATACTATGCTATTATTATGTAGTCTTTTATCCAGCCAGCAGCTAAAGCTCTTGGCCCCTTTCAGCGTGTTTGTCTCCTTAATACCTGGTTTGTTTTATAAAAAACATCTGTAAACAGGACTCAGTAGCTCAAGCTGAAATCTACATACACGTGTATGGTTCATTACAGTGACTTCTCTTTAATTAGCCCACTCCCTTTAAATTTGCAAAGATAAATACATGCTGTAGATTCAACTAAAGTATTTGTTGTTGAATTGATTACTACCAAGCTTGCCTAGGACTGGTGCTGTGTTTACATGCCCCAGTGCTCCCTCCAGCCAGTGAAACTATGCCGACTTCAGCCTTAGGTTATAATGAGAATCCTGGGTACATGCCGTTAACATGAAGTCAGTTATTAGTCTCTACATCTAGGACTAGCACATGATACAGTAACTCTGCAAGGAGTTTGCATGTTCTTCCTGTGCTTGTGTGGGTTTCCTCTGGGTACTCGTTTCCTCCCACACTGCAAAGACATGCTGGAAGGTTAATTGGCTCCTGTCTAAATTGGTTCTGTATGTATGAGAGATAGGGACCTTAGATTGAAAGCTCCTTGAGGGTAGGGACTGATGTGAATGTGCAAATATGTAAAGTAGGGCTGCGCCAAAATGTCATTTTTGGACCAAAACAGAAAATAATGTTTTTACATTTTGTAAAAATTATTTTTATTTTTTTACTTTACCGTCGGGGGCTCTAGGGATGTATAAGGCATCTAAACATAACCCTGATATTTCCCTTTTAAAATCCCCAATCTCTTTTTCTGCAGCCCCTGTTATGAATGAACAGGAAGCCTCTATGCTGAGTGCTCCTGTCCATTCATAAACTATGGAGATAGTATCAGTTACTATGTCCACAATCATGAATAAACCGGAAGTGACGTATAGCACTTCCTGTTCATTCATAACTGAGGACACAGTAAACATACTATGTCCTCAGTTATTTACAAACACTCAGCGATCAGTCCTGATCACTGAGCACTTGGAACCCGCTCTCCATCCTGACTCCTTCGTTCTCCATCCTGACTCGCTGTCACAGGAGGCCAAGCAGGCATTGCTTCGGTCGGCATCCTGAGCTGTCTCCCCCCCACACAGCCCCGTTTGGCCTCCTGAAAGCTTCTCTCCCCCCCCTGAAAGCTGGTCTGTGTCCCCTCGGATTCCTGCCGTCACAAGCGAGGGAGACAGCGGGCATCAGACCAGCGGGGAGGAGAGAAGCCTAGAGATGCACTGAATTTTCGATCATTATGGTACTTTGGCATTTTGTCCAAAGCATCATTTTCCGCCGAATCGTTTCAGTGGCCGAAATTTTGGTGCATCCCTAATGTAAAGCGCAGCATAAATTGACAGCGCTATATAAATACCTGTAATACATAAAAATGTACACTGAGGACATAAACACAAGTAGAACATAAACAAGCTTCTTGGCAGGTCAGGCGGTTTCTACACTTTGCAGCTTTTGTAGAGCAATGTAACACAGACATCAGTTCATGCTGACCAGGACATAGCCTGTTCCTTCCATGTTGTCACTGGCTGCATGCTTTTTCCAGGTCAATAATTCACCATGGACGGAAGCAAGGATAGGGTAACAGAACCAAAGTTTGCACCTTCAAACACAAGTCATCAATGGCAGATCCCATATTTGTTTATAAACAGGTGCCCTTTATAGCCCATATCCAGGCTGTAATCTCCCCCGAGAACTTCTGGATTGCGGACTGCTGTCAGGGTATAGCCAGTGGTGAAGGTGGGGAGGTGTGCACGGCTGATTTGTTCGAAGAGAGTGGGAGCCAGGTGGCAGACTGCGCTGTCAGTGGCTCTGTCTGGTGTCCCACCCAGCTCTCTGATGTCACTGGTTGACAGGAACTAGGCGGGATGCAAGCCAGAGCGTCCCCGCTCAGCTCCTGGAAACATCAGTGAGCTGGGCGGCACCAAACAGAGCATCTCAGGTTGCCATAAGCTCTTAGTGCCTGGGACGCTGTGGCTGCCCCCCTGCAACCACCTCAGTCTGCTTCATTATAGGGAAGGCCTTGTCATCTTTAGTTATTCACCCTGACCCGAACATAGCCTGTTTTTTCTATGCCGTCAAATGTTTAAAAATGTATAAACATACCTTACTAAAAATAAGATTCCCATAATCTCTACCTACAGGAACAGGACTACAAGCAACTGAAAAGAACAATAATGCGCAAACTATGGCGATTAGAGCTCAGATTACTGTAGTCACTATTGATGAACCTCAGCTTAGTGGGAAACCAATTCATCTGAGGTTGTCCAAGCCCACGCAAAACTGTGACCGCCACGCTCCCCTCCAAGCCCAATCAGTTGTGGCAGGGGCATTCTCCGCCCCTTTGGGACATATAGCTGCGGGCCGGGAATGCATTTGCCACAACTGATTGAGTCGGAAGGAAGAGGTGAACTGGGTTCGCACCAAGCCCAGGCTCATCTCTACCAGTCATATGACTGCTGATTGCTTGATGTGGTTGAATGCACTTTAGACATTGCTCTTTGCTTTACTAAATACCCTTAAATGTTTAAGGAGCTTTTTCTACACATCCCTCCTGGTCGCGGCTCACCGTAGGGTCTGTGATACAGCGGTAGAAAATGCAGGAAGATGGGGTACTGGGTGTACTGTCAGATCTGGGTGCCTGCTCCCGACACCTCTCATTCCATAATGTTATATATCCAGACACCTCCCAACTCCCGGAAATCAGGATATGGGAAGACACAAACCCTGGAGAAAGAAGACAAAAGATATAGAATTGTTTTAGGCTAGCACAAAGCTCATGATGGGCACTTTCCTAAATGCCAATCCTTGTCATTTATTTTTCTTCATGACAGCCCCTCTTTAAAGCAAACCTATGCTCAGCCCATGTCAAGCAAAGTAACATATTTGGTTTAAATTGGAACTGAACCCAAAACATTTGATAGGAGGTTGTGCTGTATTGTATTGCTAGTGCCTGAGTGCTTGGTAACTAGTGATATGCAGGGGCTTGATGCGAATATAAGTTTGTACACGCAAGACCGTCACTGACAACCCCCGGCCCATTCAGTTGCGGCAGAAGCATCCGTCCCTTCGTGAAGTGTAGCTGCGGGGTGGGGAATGCCCTGGCTGCAACTGATTAGGCTGGGAGGGGGTGGTGTCAGTGACGGTTTTGTGCAGGCTTGGCTGAACATGGTTGACACCAAGTCCCCACACATCACTAGTTAAATGTTCGTAGTGTCAGTATGTATCTATATATATGGACCAATCTCATTACCAGCAACAGGGATCTGTGTGTGTGCCTAGCAGGCCATTCAACTGACAAACTGAAGGTTGTGCCAGTCTACCCCGTGAATTGTGTGTCTGGTGTGTGCAAGTGATCATATGAGGATTCTAGCTTGCAGGATAGCTTGGGGAATCTCAGAAGCATGTGGGAATCACTTATCTGCTACAAAGCCTTGATGCTCACCACACACACATTACAATCTCCTTTAGATCTACCAACAATATGTAGTGCAAGGGCCTCCCTGATTTGATATAAATTCATTGGATAGACTAGTTAGGTTCTCATAAGTACATAGTTTAGGTAGGTCTAAAATTGAAATTGCAATGTCAGATTGTAATACATATGCTGAGGTGCCCATACACTGGCCGAATTTCAGCTGCTTTTTAATATACCGGACGAAATTCGCATGTTGTGTGGGGCTGACGGCTGCCTCGATCAGCTGATCAAAGGAGCCTGCTGGAAAATCTCCATGCGATCAGACCCGGCAGCCAATGAACTGCCCGCTCTGATGGGGTATTCTGACAGGTGCTTGCGGTACCTGTCAGGATACAATGCAAACAAAGGCAATTCCTCGATCGACACGCTGTTTGTGTTGATGGAGAAATCACGTTAATTTCTTTTGTTCAGCCCGCGGGTTGAACAAAAAAAATTGACAGGTGTATGGCCAGCTTTAGAGTGCACCAGATTGTATGCAAGCTTTGCATCTGCCTGTGTGTGTCCTGCCAGCTAAATATGGGTGAGTCTCTTTAGTGTCAGTGTGTCTGTGCTGTTTTCAATTTCCATTTGTGCCCGGCTTTGGGAACTTTGGGTTCTCATGATAATTTGAAGCAAGTGCTTGCACAGAAGTACTAAGTATCAGTATGGAGAAAGTTGGATGTACAAGATATTCATTTCAGTTTTCTTTGCTCTCCTCCTGCATGATTTAATCTGTTTCTAAGGATGCCAGGTCTTGGGATAGAGGGATATAGGACAGATTCCAAATTGAGCAATGTCTACTATAATGCTATTTTACAGGAATACTTTTTTGTATTGTCACGTGACCAACCTGTAGCATTGTCACCAACAGCCAGAATCAGACTGGAGCAGCCGAGTCTGTGTTCAGGAGAGTTCTCAATAGCTGCGCTGGCCTCAGGGCTCCAGGTCAGAGTCACTTCCCTGCAAGGAAAAGGGCAGAATATCACACTGTTTACTGTGATTTAGAAGTACTTGGATACAGATCAGAGAAGGAATCAAAGCTAGATGTAGATTATCCTACTATTCTGACACAGTTTTTTTTTATCCAACTGAAATAAAACTGGAATTATTGATAGTAAAACCAACCATACCGGTGAACCTGGTATAACCAATGTAGACCTCCAGTCCTAACCTTTTTTTTTTTTAGGTTTTGTATAGAATGGGCAAAAGTTAAAGCCCAGCTGAACTTTCAGATAAAGCTTATCAAGATATTTAGTTAAATACATTGGTTGATTGAGTTCACCCAAGCCCCAACAAAACTGTGACTGACCCCCCTTATCCCATGTCAGCAAGTTGTGGCAGAGACATTCTCGCCCTTTTTGACATGTAGCTGTAGGCAGAGAATGCCCCGGCCGCAACTGATTGGGCGGAGAAGAAGGTGGTGGTGGCATCAGTCACAGCTTTGTGCAGGCTTGTGAGATCTTAAGCTAACTGGGTTTGCAACAAGCCGCACACTCTCATGCATCATAAATAAATCTGGCATATGTATGGTCATGTCGCTAGTTACACTGGGGTTTTTCAAGAGGAAACATTGCGCAATTTAACGCCTTGCCAGGGATAGGTGGTTATATAATCATGGCAAGGCACTTTGCAGAGCTTGGCACAGCCAGGATGTTGGAAATGAGCATGCAGGTAAACAATGCCACCGCAACATTATTATTACAGGTATTTTATATAGCGCCGACAATTTACGCAGCACTTTACATAGATGCACATTCATATCAGTCCCTACCCTCATGGAGCTTACAATCTAAGGTCCCCATCTCACATACAGGGCCAATTTAGACAGGAGCCAATTAACCTCCCAACATATCTCAGGAAGGGAAAGAATGCAGGATGCTCATGACGTCAACCAAAAAAGTAAGTAATATCATATAATACCGGTCTCAAGCTAAAAATGTGAGTTTCATTGATTAAGTGAGGTTTTTTTTTTAATGCTTGATGTCTGCTGTAGTTCTCCTATGAATTATAAGCCCCAAACCTCTCAATTATTGGAAATCACATAACATGTATCTGACTTACAACAAAATCTTTGCAAGACAACAGTATACAGCCAGTAAATGAAAATGTGTATGACAGCGATTAACCTTTTCTTTTCCAGCTCCCTCCTGATCTCTCTGTCCTCTTCTTCTTCCTCCTCCTCCTCCTCATCTTCATCATCCACTGCCCGGCTGAACACAGACAAAACCTCCCCAAAAAACGTCGCCATGCCTCCAGTCTGCAGAAAGAAACTGCTTCCTGATCAGCATGACACAGACAACAGGTCACAGTTTAGAGGAGGGACCAGGAGGGTCGGTATAGCGGCAGTGGCCAGCAGGAGGAGCATTGAGCAGCACAAGTACCGAGGCACTGAGCTATAACCACAAGCGGCCACTAGAGGGAGACATTATACAATCTGCCAGATTGTGCTGAGTTACCAGATATGACCGCTAGATGGAGCCGAATCACATTCACATTGAGGCTCATGACAGCTACAGACCCACAGCGCCATTGGAAAATTGTTTTTTCTTTCCTTTTTAAAAAAAATCTGTCCAATCAGACGCTGGCCTCCTGTTGGTGATAGAGCTGCTGTAGTCTTCCCCTGATACCTAGAAGAGACGTCTGGGTTATTGGGAGGGAGGATTTTTACAACCAGTTTCTGACCACCAATGCTGGGGAGAGGAAGTGTTTTTTTTGCTAGCGACTGACCTCCAATTTTGGAGGTGGGGGTATATGTACAACCAGTCTCTGACCACCAATGCTGGGAGAGGAGGTGTTTTTATTGCTAGCGACTGACCACCAATTCTGGAGGTGGGGGTATATGTACAACCACCAATGCTGGGAGAGGAGCTGTTGTTGTTGCTAGTCACTAACCACCATATCTGGAGGTATTTTTACAGCCAGCTGCCTGCCACCAATGCTGAGGGAGGGTATTTTTACAGGGGAATATTTACAGTCGGCCACTGAACACCATTGGTGGGTTGGTTATTATTGTTATAGGCAGCCCAGCTGGAAACCATAGGCGATGAAAGAGTTAGATTTTTCTTTTTTAATGATGGCAGGTGTGTTGTATGTGTCTATTAGATTCAGGTTTTATTTAACCAAGCTGTAAGACCCCCTACCGCTGTTAGTGCAATCTGGCTGTGCGTGTCGTCATTATCCATACAGAATACGTTTCATAATATGAGTTATATGTATAGTTACTTCAATCTTGGTCTACTTTGTGTCTTTCTTCCAGCACTGTATAGTAATCTAGAGTGAAATTTTACCTCTGTGCAGGAGATTCTGTAATAAAGACCGGTCACTGCTGCTCTCTCTTCTTGTACAGAGTGACTGGTCTTGTCTCCGCCCCCTTCCTGCAGTTTTCTGCAGGCAGCCTATAGTGGGTGAAACTTGCTGGGTCCTTCCCACAGCTGAAGCAGGGGACAGCAATCCAAGTTATTCGCAACAGGTCCTCTGGGAGGAACACTGCAGCCACTCTGGAGCTGCTAGAGGATTGTGAGCTGGGGAGGCCTGTGGGACCACTCCCTTTGTGCTCTGACACACTGTACTGCGGTACAACTAAGGCAAATTTAAACACACCAGAATGCGACCGTTTCTACTGTACGGTCGCACGGAGCACGCTAGAAATCTTACGCTTTTCGGCTGGTTTGAACGGGCCGGTGTCTGCACGCGCACACTGCCCGTTCATCATTGCGGTCATCGGAAGCCAGCCCCTCAGGGGGGCGGGCTTGCGATGATCGAGAGTGCGATCTGCCTGTCCAAGATAGGCAGATCGTACTTTTTTTAATTACTTTACAACCGTCGCAAGACTAAGGTCTTGCGATGGTTGTAAAGTGTATGGCCACCTTTAGGCAGCAGCAAGGACAAGCCAAGGTAAACCTGTGACACTTTTGAGGTGGGCAGGGGTGGGAAACCGCCTCTCGCAATAAGGCGTGTACGCACACGACACCTGGGAGTGACGTAGCAACTAATTCTCCAGTGCTTTAAAGAAATAATGGGAGAAAACCGATAATGTGCCATCAAGTCTCAGGTTTACCACAGGCACAGCTGGAGAGCGTTCTGCAGCTAACGAGCACACTAAGTCCGAGCATGGTCTCCAAGACAGCATCGACTACCAGCCAATCTGGATGTCTATATAATAAAGGTGCCCATACACTGCTCGATTCTCGTACGAGAATCGGGCGAAATCCCGCGATCGTACGAGAATCGAGCAGTGTGAACTAAGACGTGCGACCGTTTCTACTGTACGGTCGCACGTCTTTTGTCGAGCCAACATGTTCGAAAACCCGCCGAGAATCGTACGATTCTCGGCGGGTTTCTAGCCTGCTCGCCCGATAGCTGCGGAACGGGCCGGTGTGCGCACGCGCACACTGCCCGTTCTGCATTGCCGTCATCGGAAGCCCGATCGCAATGATCTTGCGATCATCGTACTTCGATGATCGCAAGTACGATCTGCCCGTCCAAGGTGGGCAGATCGTACGGGCTTTCAAGAAGCATACGACCATCGCAAGACAAAAGTCTTGCGATGGTCGTAAGGTGTATGGGCACCTTAAGTCCCAGCTCAGCAGATTAAAGAAGAACTCCAGGGAAAAGTATTAACCCTTGCAAAACAAGCACTTAACCCTTGCAGTGTGGGGGTAGCCCCACTGCAAGGGTTATTTGTTTTCCCCGGAGTTTTGCTTTACTGAAGAACAAAAAACGATAAAAGTGGGTAAACACCAGAGAAAAGATGTCCATCCTTTTAGGACACTAGCAAAAAAAACTGAAGCACCATGGAAGTATGTGTGGGGGGGCTAAACTTGGCTGGCCCATATTTCTTTGTGTCAAATTCCTCCTAAAAGCAGCAATATAACCCAATGTTCCTGAATTCTACTGATCCTGTGTGCCTTGATGAACATTTTTTCTGCCTGTGCTCAGCTAACAGTGTGATGCTTCTATAACATCATTACTTGTTCTTAGGAAGGACAGGGGACTCGAGTTTTTTCTCATTCAGCACATGGGGCCAAGGAAGAACTGCCAGCTTAAGTGATGGGCTATCGGAATTGCACATAATCAGCCAATTTACTACTCAGGACAATCAATTTCCATCCATAATTAATACAAACATTAGTTGGAAAAATGCATTAGGATGTTTGAGGCACTATTCACGCAGTGGAAGCGGTTTTTGCGCAAATGTAAACATACGTTTGGATTGCGCATGTTTGTGGCTATTACTATAGCCAGAATGTGCGGAATCCGCCCATTAAATCACGCTTGGACTACTTTGTGAAATGCACTGTTTCGTACCGTGTGGACGCCGCAATAGTCTCAAGAATGCACATCGCAATGCTTTTTTTATGTTTAGCGCAGTTGTGCGCATATTCGTGCGGGAGAATACGTGCGTAAAACTGCTTGTGTGTGAATGAAGCCTAAACCTTGTTATACTACAATGACCTGGAGCTGACTTAGTGCTTCTTTTTCATAGTCCACGGCACTGGATAAAAATATCTGCATTCTTTATTATTAATTCTTTCAGGGTTACATAGTTAAGGTTTCTGGTTTTCAGACACTGTATAGGTGCCCATTCCTCCGCAGTAATGTTAGATTACCTTATCCCCTGACTTCTCTCCTTTAAGTCTGTTAAAAGGAGTTCACAGCATATACTGTACTCTCCTGTTATAACATCAGTACTGTAATAGGAATACACACTAGAGTTGTTTTTGATAATACAATCAAAGCTTACTTTAATGAATCACAGTCATGTAGTGAGTGCTGCCTTCTGTCTGCCCATCACCTTTATCAACTTCCTGGATTCCCAGTGGGCTTTGTATCTCTTTCCCTGCTGCTTCATGTGATACAATCTCCATTCCTCAAGACTGCGCATCCCATCACGCATTGCTTTCAGCAAGCAACGACAATGTTACATTGTGAAAAGTTCAGACAGCAGGCTTAGAGACACAAAGAAAGTCATATTCACAGGGCTGAGTGAATATGAGGAAGTACATCCTATGTCCTATATACAGGTTGCCCTATGATTCTGATTGTTTGAAAGTTAATTTAGTCTGTATCTCTCAAGCCATATGCGTTAAAAACTGTTAAATGTTCCATTGACAATAAACTCCTAAATAAACTTTCAAATTCATGTAGGGGGGCCGATCAAACTCGAAATGAAATGTTGATGCAACCATACTGATGACAAATTCCGGAAAACGTGGTTTTGGAATACCTCTACTCCCCGGAGTATGGTGCACTCATGGTAAAATGAGACATCGTACTGTACCTGCGGAGATACAAAATCAAGAGGCCCCAGACATAACCTGACACCCTTGCCCCAGAGGGCCAATACCGCGCCCCCCTACCACTTGCCGGGACTCTGCTGAATGCTCACCCAACTTACGCCAACTCTCACCCCGATTCCACTCCTCCATATCCTTCCCAAGTCTCAGTCCCAAACCTTTCTCTGTCTTCTCCTTCCCCCCCAACCTCTTTGTGTCATCCATGATACGACCTCTGCATGGCAGGGACCTGGTTGCACTGCCTTCCTTAGTGCGACATTCCGCAGCATAGTGGTTTTTTTTTTTTCTCCCCCCCCCCCCCCCATCTCTTTTGTGTCGTCCATGCTACAACCTCAGCATGGAAGGTATCTAGTTGCACTGCCTTCCTTAGTGCGACATGGAAAGCCTGGTGCATTCCACAGCATAGTGGTTGCGCTTAAATACGCACTGAAATACTTGTCTGCCTTGCCCACATTGGGGCTACAAAACCAGTGGAATTGTTAGGTCTTACATACACTTCCCATGTTCATACAGTACCCACTGTATTTTACTGTACTGAACAACTTCCCTTTCTCTAATTATCCACTGTTTGTACAAATGAAAAACTGAAAATAAAGAATTTAAAAAATAAATAAATGTTGGTGCAAATAATAAACCTTTCCCCGACACAGGAATCTCATCCTTAGTGAAATGAACCACTGAGAAATCGATATCATTATATTTATTTCCTTCTGTGTTTTGTGTGGTGGATATCATTTGTTTGACCCTTCACTTTTTTTTCCTCCCCCTCGTTTTCTTTGGCTGTTTTTACACTAGTAATCTGTTCCTTTTTTGATGTTTCTCCCGAAGGACTGTCACGGGAAAAAAACTGAGCCAGCTGCGTTCCTTGATCTCTTCAAAGCTCCGAAATCACTCGTCTGATACCTCCAACTGTGTATCACATACCTCCGGAGAGCGAGAATTGACATGAGTTTTACTCTGTTTCTTAAAGCAATATAAAAGTCAAAAGGTTTTTAAAAGAGAACTATGGGGTGAGAGAATTACACTCATCCTCATAGTTAGAGCCAACATACGACATTGAAACTGTCACACGTCGGCTCAATAGATCAGGAAGTGAGCGAAAACATAATGCCGCTCGCTCATTTCCCTGCAGAGAGCAGTGACTCTGTCACCACAGGGATTCCCCCCCCCCCTCTCTAGTGCAGGCTGGAGGGACAGACAGGGGAAGGGGTGGGCACCCCCGATGTTAGCCAAAGCACACTGTCAATCATCCAGCCTGCCTGAGAAATGGTCCCGATACCCTGTTTTACGGTTCTCCTTTGCAGGGTCCTATGGAGCCAACCTCATATTTGCTAGTAAAGCTGTGTGCATCTCCACAAACACATAGGCAAAGCAAGGCAAAGCAAGGCAAGACACTCCCCTGCTCATCCTTCCTCCCTTCTCCAAGTTAGTAGATAGACAGCTGCTGAAGACTATGCTCTCCCTTGTGATCTTGTATTGGACAGGAAGTTTAGGGAAGCAGAGCTAGGAGAGTTGTGGCCAGCCCTTTTGATACATAATTGTAAGCGTTTGGGCACAAATGTAAAGAAATACTTTGCTGGGCAATGTATATTTGTTTGAATTTTAGTAATTATTAAAAAAGAATGGACCATGGTCCGTCTGCTCCGTTCCTATAGCATAATTTCATTATAAGCCTGCACATCTAAGATATTTTTCAGGTTTTACTTCCATAATATCAGCTTACATTTGCTGTCTCCAACGCCAATTTTTCATGCATCTCCCAAAAAATAGTCAGTCCTTCATACTTCGACAAATGAGCTTTAATTTTACTGATTTGTAAACTTGTGTGCTGCAATGCTTTTTCTTCATAAGATACAATAACTTGCATTAAATCCAGAGAACATATTGATAATGTCTGGTACCACTAAAGCTTTATTTCATCTTTTATTCAGATACTTATATTTCTTAAAATTAATTTGTCCAGTGAGCCCAGGGTATTAAGGCTCCTCCCCCTGCCCTGGAGAATGCTGCAGATAGCATCATGACACCAGGTAGTTTAACTTTCAAAAGCCTTTATTTGCCTTGGATTATTTTTTACCAAATGGACCATCTTTTTCTGCTGCTTAAACATGCTACAAACCACTCAACAAGATTGGCTTTTGCATAAAGAATGCCACACAAACTGCAGATATATTATTTATTGCCAATTCACAAATGTGGCATTTTAATGAGAAAAAACGAAACAAAACTATGCACTGTGCTTTGGTGAACAGAAATGAGTTATTAAGCCTTTCTGCAATCCTGACCGTTTCAGTAAGAGCAAGGTTGTCCTTTATCACATCAGATGGCATTTCTGAGCTCTGGGTGCAGTTGTTTATTTCTCAGTTATGTCATCAAGTTGAAGCGTCTTTTTCCTAATACATCTTTCTAAATCAATAGTCAGACTTCATCTTTCCCAGGAAATTATTTTTTGGATTATCATTTGAAAAGCTTACAGTCTGGAGCCCCTTTCCCCCCAAGGAAATCTATTCTCATTCCACCAGGTGTGGCTAAGTAATACAGTAGGCTTCTTTGACCATTAAGTTTTGGTTCTACTGTTCTGCTTCCTTAGGGTTTGTTAGAATTTTTGTCTCCTCCTTCCCTTAACTGCGAACCAGCACAACCATTTTTCTTTCCTAAATTATTAGTCTGTCAGTATTAATCTACTACCCTATCCATTGGCTTTTCTTTCGGGTAAAGGGGCTGACATTAAAAGATGTCAAGATATAAAAAATGTAAGTGATTATTGTAAAGAACTTTCCATTTTACAGGGTGCATAATACCCAGATTATCTACTGTGTACAAAGTAAGACAGAGCACAGCAAATTATGTGTTTATAACATGACAACTTCAAGTCAGTTTTTTTTCTGTGTTCAATTGGGAAGATTTCCTTTAACCACCTCCGGGCCGGCCGTAGTAAAAAAACGGCCGGCCCGAGCTCTCTAGATCTGAGCGGGCGTCTTTAGACGTCCGCTCAGACACGCCCCCCACTCGGCGAGCACGAGCGGGAAATGAAGCAGATCTCTGCTTCATCAGCTTCTTTTGGGGGGTCCTAGTTGACATTAGTGCCCCTTTGGCTAAAACATTACATCAGTATGCAGCTCTGCATGGTGATATGAAATCAACTTACATTCATTAGTTGAGCATACATTTTTTCTTACAATTTCTTGTTTTCTACTTCCTGGTTCTCTTTGGCAAAAGTAATATGCCCAAGCGTTGTATCCTGGAAAGGTTACATCACAATGCATTGCTGGGAAATATTTTCTCTGATCTCATGAGATCTCAGGGAAAGGCATTTTCCCCCCAGAGATGGTGTATGGTCACGTGTCCTAGTCACATGTGCCAGAGTTCCAGGAAGTAAAAGGAGCTATATTAATCTGCCCTAAGTAAAAAAAAGAAAATGGCCACCATAAGAATGGGAGGAAAAGAAAAAAAAGGTGTGCAAAGAATACAAAAGCCGGCAATTATCTAGAAGTATGTGTTTGTAGATTGTCATCACTAAACACTTATAAAGGTGCCTTTGTTGTTATTTTGAAGATATGGTTAAATTGCTCTTTAATCTTGTGCGAGTGAGTAAAAATCCTATCCTCAACATATGTCACCAGAAGTGTTTTTATTGGAAAATGTCCCCTCTATTCCTGTTTCAGTGACAACTGTAAATATGTGAATTCCCCTTCACTTTCTGTTGTCAGTGAACACTAGGACAAAGAGTGAATCTCCAGTGGAGGACACATACATGCACATGGTTGATCATTGGCAATAATGGTCAGAATCTAAACCCAAGGTTTCTTCTTTGTCTGGTGGTGGCTCTTCCTACTGAGCCACTTAAAGCTCAGAATAGCTCCTTGTATGATCTCTTGGTCAGTCTTCATGAATACCTAGTTTCTTGCTAAACTCTGAACTCCTTGCTCCTTCCCTGAAGTTGCTATTACATTGTTCCTCTGCCTCGCACAGTCTTTTTCCAGGCACTAAAGTGAAGGTAACGAAATTGTGTAAGAGAAGACGCAGGCGCCACTTCTCATTTACTGTATTTTTCAATATAGTCATGGAGTATATTTTGTATAAAAAAAATGAAATGACCTCACAGTAGGCAAAATATTTTAGGTGTAAAAAGTGGAAACGGGCAGGAAGCTCCTCTCTGTGCAACCCTGGCAAAATCCAGCACTGCACATATATGGCAGCATAATTCTATTTTCAAACAGGCCTTACAGTTACAATACAGTGAACACTTTCAAACAGTTCCCTACATGAATTGTCTGTATGTAGTATGCAATCCTTTTCTCTGCTTTGTTTTTTGGCCAAAGCTTGCTACTGTAAAAACTGTGCTTAATATCGCAGAAGTAAAAACCATTTATGTGATTAATACTTCCTCTGACCAGGGCTTTACTTTTCAAGAAGCAGTCAAAAACATGCAGTGTTTGAAATCTTTTATTATTTCACTGATAAACCATTTGGATGTCACATTCAAACAAAGTCTCCATACTCAAAACTGCAAAAATCGTTTGCAATCTGAAGAAAACATTTTGGGATCTCCAGAGAAAGGATCCCAGAAGCGCTCACCTGAAAGGCGATTTATCATCCCAACAGCATAAAGCGACATAGTGCATAGTCCTCATGTTTAACAAACAAGACAGTATCTCTGGCAGAGATAAGCAGCATGTAAAAGGAGACAAGACTCCTAATGGAGATTTCCCAAACACTCCAAAATTCTGAGATTTGGCTTCTTTTTTCGCTGTAGTAAAATAAAAAGCAATCAGTTACTAGTTAATCATAAAAACAAGGACAGATGAAAGAGGGGGAATAATTCTTCAGAGTGGTAATTCATTGTACTGGCATAACAAAAATGATACCAGAAGTAAAATGTGAATTACTATCATGAGGAAACTCCCCCTAAAGAATTGTAATGTGTCAGTAGCTTTATCAAATTCAGTAGCATTGGAATGAAATTCCTAAGGTGTTGGTAAACTGGTTCAGTCTGTTTGGAGGCTGCATTACCAGTATAACAGTGAAAGCTACTGCAAAATCAGACACCTTGATAGGGCTGATTTATGAAAACGGGAGTAAAGTAAAGTTGTTTCCTAATTCAACCAGGATTAATTCAAAAATGAACCCAGATTACTTGTTATATAAATCAAACAAGTCTTTAGAAGATATAAGAGAGAGACCACTAAATCCTGAAGCAGTCTCTATATTCTCATTGTAATATCTTGAACTACTTTGTATTGATTTACACTACATACCAGGGGTGTCCAGATACCAGTGCCGATACTTGGCATTTTCATGACAACTACCAGGGTTGCAGCTGGGACCTGGCTCTGGCCGCTTCACCACTGTCCTGAAATCATTAGTCTGTATTGTTTTAGAAAAACTGTCACATGGCACATGACAATAAACAAAAAGGTATCAGTGATTGCATCTGTAAGTACTTGGGCAAAGTACTTGTACCAAGTATGGTACTTGGTATCGGTGCATCCCTACTACATACTCATGAGCACCAATATGTACTCTTACATCAATAGGTGGATGTGAGTGAACAGTTAATAAGCAAGCATTACACTTACAGATTGTCCTGGTTCAGGAGGTAGCAGCAACGATCCCCACCTTCTGAGCAGCATCTTTCTTGGCTTGGTGAGCTTGCAAAACAGCAACAGCTTCTTCCACCTGATTAAGGTATAATCAAGCGATCACTAAGATAACTACTGACAAAACACAACCGCTCACAACTGTACCTATTACTACTGCGCACATAAAAGTGTCAAAGCTATCATATAGTTATATATGTTTGAAGCTAGAAGGCGATAGATGACTAAATACCAACAAGGTACTTGGGCAAGTTATTTATAACCTAAAATGGTATTATTTTGTAACAGGTTGCAATAACCTAAATTAAAAATTAAAGTCAAGTCTATACTTATGAGCAAAACAAACTGATGCCTGTATGAGTGTCCTGTTTTTTTTTTTGGACAGAGTGGGGTATAATAAGAACTCATGATGGCTTTTTACATCTATATAGGTATTTGTAAGAGAGAATTGGCCTCAATTCCTGCCCTGCTGACAATAGTTTCTCCAGGTCAGAAGTGAGGGGAAAAAATCTGCAACAGAGACACGGCCAATTTGCGAAGAAAAACATTTTTTTTTTTTTTTTAAACCCGGTGTATTGAGTTCAGAGAAAACACATTTTTACAGATTACATATACAGTATTGACAACGGTTATACAGTATCCATAAAAAACAAACTACAAAAAACACTGTAAAACCATGGCAATCTTGTAGAATCCTTTTTCACTTATACACAAGCAAAGCAGGTAAGAATATGGATGGGATCAAAATAAACAGAACGACCCAAGTGATAGTCATAGCCTAGTACACAAGAGTGTAAAATCAAAAGTATATTGATCTATGTAGTTGGCAAATGTATATCTGCATCATGGATCCCAGATTTTCTGACATCTAATAGGTTGGCTTTAGTCATCATAAATGACTTTGAAGAAGAATTTGATTTATGGTAGCCATTAGGCAACAGTGGGAGGGGATAGATTTATCCACTTTGCGATTATCTTGCCGGCTATAAAAAGATTTCCCTTAGAAAAAGTTCTGGTATAATGTGGCCGTGGCTTTTCAATCAATATGCCAAATATACAAATCGTAGGAGTGCACAGTATAGGGATTTGCAGTTGGAGATCAATAAGCAGATATCACCCGATTGTTGGAAGCTAAAATAATTGACATCTATGATACATCTTTGATGGAAAGGTTCCTTAATATCGTGAGCTGCCCGTGCTGTTTGATATGCAAATGAAGACCATCAAAGGGTTCTTGGGGCTGGACACTGATCAAAGGAGATCTGCTGGACTGTCATGTCCTGGGGCAAGCCTGACACCCTGCTGGTATTTACTGCCCTCACCTGTGTCAGCAAGGCATATATGCTGGGATGGGGGCAGGGGCATATGATGGAACCTTCTTCCTGTGTGACACTAACCTAGCTGACAAGCAAGACCTTTGGACAAGACAAGTCTTTCTGAGCTCTGCAATCAAGAATGTGATTCACTGAGACCTGTCCGAAGAACAGAGGAAAAACCCATGGCTTGTGTGAAAGAGAGAGAGAATGGTGTAGCTAGCTGTAGGATCCTTACCCTCAATTCCTATCCCCAATTCCCCTTTCAAATTCCCTTAATTGTAATATGTATGTATATCCCTATTTGTAAATAAACCCAACACTTATTTAAGATTCAGTTGTTCATCAGTAATTTAAGGGCAACCCCAAATCAGAGCACATTCTACACCGATAATACTAAAGTAAGTGTACAGAATCTACCCGTGGTTGAGCACATAACTCAAACGGCCCCTTTTATGGAGACGGGTGGAAGGAAGGTATGACTGATGATTATATACAACTGAATAGATTTATTGGTAACTGATTGAGGCTAAAGTATGAGGGGAACGCAGCCAGAATGCAGAGCTGCAACGGCTTGAAGTGAAAGTGTGCATAGGGAGCCACCTCGCAGAATGCTGCCTTCAAGTCCATCACTTTCATGCAAAAGCAAACTTTGGAGCAACTTCTGGCCAGCAAATTCCAAGCATGAGAATAGAGAGAGATAGGATCTTTAGGGAAATGAAGGCCCTGGAGAGGGCCCTGTCCAAGACTAGGCCAAAGCACGCCAAGTTCTGCAGGGTTTGTCTGATAAATGTTGGATGACAAGGCTTTCACTGGCTGTTCTCTGAAGAGAAAGTAGTCCATATGGGGATGCCCTCGGACCAAAGCAGAGCTAACAAAGAGGCTACCACCTTGGTGAAGACCCAAGGCACCATGCACAGGCCAAATGGAAGGGCAAGAAATGGGTAGTTGGGCATCGCTAATGGGCCAGAAAAATGGGTATGTGCAATAATAATGGGAATGTGCAAATATGCATCCCTAGTCTCCCAAGTGAAGGGAGACGATGAGAGTGTGTAGATAGAGCTTTTGGACTCAAGGGAACCCCCCTGAGCATTCATTTTTTTTCCATTTTGGAATTTAACACTATCACCGTAGGCCATGTACTTTCTTAACATGACAGGGGTGCCAGCTCTTTATCACTCTATCAAAGAAAAAAAAAAAGTTTTGGTTTGACATACGCTTTAAGCCAGTAAAGGCAGAACTATTGATCTGCATATTTATGGATGCCAGTGGATCAGCATTATAGCCAGGCAAGAATCATTGTCAGAAAGAAGTCAGCAGTGGCAGCTTACACATTTCTTACTAAATAGTTCTTAAATATCCAGTTTCCTATCTGCTTCTGTTCTTGGTACTAAATATCCTTTTCCTAGAAACTATTAAAATGTATAAAAATGAGAGCCTGATATTCAGTAGAGGTTGATAAGTGATCTGTACAAAGAGTTAGGACAACTGTCATAGCTTACCTCTCCTGTAAACACTAGCACCCTGGCTGTAATGCCGACTACACATCTTCAATACTTTGTAAGTCACAAATGCAGAACATGAATGCAGATTAGTAGTCCTGTATCTTGCTTATCTATGTGCTTGTTCCAGGTAAGTGTTTCTGAATGAACTATAGCAAGAGCATTCAGGGCACGAGGCATTTATAGAATTAGGATAGCAATGACAGCCTTAGAATTTCTTTGCGTGTAGGTTTCCTTAAAATTGATTGGGCAGTTTTGCATGACCAAAAAGACAATATAACTTGTGGACCATGAACACTTACCTTAGAGCGCAGAGACTCTGGGGATTCCAGCATGTGTAGCAGCTCAGAATTGTCAATCTCCAGCAACATTCCTGTTATCTTACCCGCCAATGAGGGATGCATGGCTTGTATAAGAGGGAAGAGACGTTCTCCTAAAGTTAAGGAAAGATTACATTAATTCTCTACTCACCTATATCCAAGGCACTCCTATCAGCAAAAACTGTCAAAATGTCACTCACCTAACATCTGTTTTTGTTCTTGTGGTGGAGCAGCAGCCAACATTGAGGCCGTAAGAGGTTCTTGTCCCTGTACATGGACTGCAGGTTGAGGAGTCTGCCAAAAAAAAAAGTTTTAAAATGTTTATATATATATATATATACACATATATATAAAAATATAAATAGAGTAATAATAAAATGCATTTTTCTCATGAGATTAGTAAATCACGAAGTGTCACTGGATCACCCCCTCAGAGCTCCTTTTCCTGCTGTCCTAAGTACATCTCACTGAAACTCATATTGCCAGGCTAAAGCCAACAGCATTTTAAAGCTAAACAGGCAGCATAAAGAAAAAGCACAAACGAATGCAATTCTGTATTCATTAAAAGGAAATGCATTATTACATGCAACTAGTGCAAATACCTGCATTTGCCTTAGTATCAGCCTCTTGTAATCACCTTTACAGTAAAAGCCAGACTGGGAGAGGGGAGGGCCAGCACTGGGAGGTAATCAAGTGTGATGTATTTTCCGTGTATGTTAGTTGTAGAGGTTCCTAAGGATATGAGCATACACACAACGCTTTTTTTTCCTTTCTAACAATGCACTTAAACTTCTGACCTGCTTACTCCAATACTTCTTATCTTCATTGCACTGTTTCTAAGTCACTGTTTCTAAGGGCCAAAAGCCAGATTTTGACCCTTTCTTGCAAAGAAGAAAAAAAAACAACAAACGCCTATATGCAATGTGTCCACAGTGAAGTTGTGATATATAGTTTGTGGATGCATTTTTCACAACTAGCAGGTTAAAACCCCTATATAAGAGGACAGTGGTACTTTGTTTAAAATGGATTTAATTTTCTAAGCACACAAAGAGCTTAAATTATATCAAGTAAAACATATACCTGTAGTGGTTGCACTCCAGGGAGTGGACATCGTGTATATTTGTACTGAGGCACAGGTCGGGATGGTAGAACAGAAATTGGCTGACGAGGTCCTAGTGTCTGAGTAGCAGAAGAAACCCCTATGGAGAAAAGGAAGAAAATTACAGGACTGTTTCCACAAATAAAGAGTTGGCACAATAAAGCAAAACAAGAGCATTTAGTAAATCAATAAATACAAGTATCTACATGTTGCAGAGGTGTAGAGACAGAACAAAAGGTGTAGCATGCTCTGTCTGGATTTCCGCCGCTATTATTTTTGCACTAAAAGCAACTCTTCTCCTGAACCACGGAACCAGGACAGGATCAGTTTATAGTGCTCTTAGAAAACCCACAGAACTTATAAAATGTTCCTTACCAACTCTCTGGGCTACGCTGGAGATACCACGTGTGCCCTGAGAACTTGAAGGTGGCATATGGCGTATTGATTGGCGGGGACCACTTTGTCGCACTGTGTTAGGCATGGGCTGAAAGCCTAAAGAAAAAATACATTAAAAAAAAAAACCATGCAGTATACAAGTATGAATAGTGAGATAAATCACATGTACTGAGCTTGTATGTGATGAACAGAGTGATTGTTTGCCTTTTTCTGCTGAAATCTACCTCTGTTGTACCTACAACCCCTACCACATGTACAAATGAAAGGTCTGAAGCAAAGCCACCTTTCTAAAAGTGCAAACACCCGTGTTTTTTTATATTCAAAAAGGTAACTAGTGGTACAGTCATCTAGTGAACATAAAGGGACATTTTCTATTTTCATGCAGTAATTAATGCTCAGAAAAATATATTCCATTAACATTATTTGTCAGAGCACTGGTTAGGGTTTTCCAGTGAAAATGCTTCTCAGATGAGACACCCATCTCTTGGCAATCATACCAAAATGCTTACCCTGAGGACGTCCTGCTTGCTGCCATCGTGGACCAGGGCGCATTTGAGCTATATGATTCGGGGCGTAGTATGTAGGTCTGCTTTGAGCCTGAGAAGAGAGAAATGCAATTATGTGAATGCAAAATCGTGTAATTTAAACCCAAAAGACTACTTTCAGATACCAAACCAACCAAACCAACCTGTGGAACTGCTGGCACAAAATACCCTCCAGGAGCTGGTTGAAATTGGCTAATTAGAGTATTGGCAGGCAGGGCCCTCATTCCAGCTATACGCTGCATATACTGATTCGTAAGATGGGCTTTTCTTTCCTCCTTTCTTTGAGCCAGTGCTACATAAAGAGGTTTGGAGCCTACAATTCTCCCATTCATTTCAGTGACTGCTTTAGTGGCCTCTTCAGGTGAAGAAAAGCAAACAAATCCAAATCCTTTACTACGGCCATCCTCCAGCATTACCTGAAAGAAAAAAAGCACATACAGATGTAGTGAAACTCTAAAGGTAAAGGCTTTTTGCGTATAGAATTGCTCAGTAGGTTTACAGGTAAAGTGAAGGTTTGCATGTGGCAAAGGCGTAGAGACGGAACACAAGGTAAACATGTTCTGTCTGGATTTCCTTAGCATTGCTTTTGCACTGGAAAACCTCCCCCTGCACTAAACAGCAGGGACAAGGTGAGTTAACAGTGCAGATAAATAATACACATTCTATGACTGTCAAAAGGCTACATGTACAGCCGATTAAAGCAAAATGTTCACCAATGGTTTATATGAACACAGCAAAGACTTTCTCTCACCTTGGCGCTTGTTATTGACCCAAATGGGGAAAATTCCTTCCGCAGCTTCTCATCATCGATTGTGTCATCCAGATTTTTAATATATAAATTTACACCCTGGGAACAATCAAGAACACAACTATTAGCATGTATAAGGAACCGTACAAAGATAAGAAAAAAAAAATTCAAAATTTAAGTTACACAAATAAACTTGTAGGATCAACTAAGGATTTGGATGAATATGTTTATGGATATGCACTAAATCCAAGTAACAGTTTAGTACTAGGTGGTGCCTGAGTGAGCTATGTCAACAAACCTACAGGGAGAGTGCGAATCCATCACAGTGGCCACAACAGGTATGCAGACTCCATGCTGAAGCATACATCCCACCAAAAGATACAGGAACCTGTCAGGTGGTTTTACTCTCCAGCTTCTACCAAACACTGAAATATCAATTTTGGGTGACCCGACTCTTAAAATGTAAGTAAACTCAATTACTGAAATTGCACATAACCTTTAACATGGGAATGTCATTTCAAAATTAATTTTCAATATTTTTAAATCTGCTGTATTAAAGCTGACCTTTACCCCCTTTGACTAAAAATCACATCAGCATATAGCTCTGCATGCCGATTACATTCATTAGCTAAACAAAAATTTTTGTGTTACTTATTTTTTCCCCAATTGATGTAACCTGGGAAGGTTACATCAAGAGCATTGCTGGGAAATCTCATGAGATCTCAGGGAAAAGCATTTTCCTCCCGAGATAATGTGCGTGGTCACATGTCCTAGTCATGTGGCAGAGTTTCAGGAAATAAAAGGATATATATTAATTTGCCCCTTATGGCCTATGAGAGAAATAAGGTATGTAAAGAATGCAAAGCTGGCAATTATCTAGAAGTATGTGTTTGTAGATAGTTAGTAATGACGATCTCTAAAGGTGCCTTTGTCGTCATTTTGAAAATATGGGTAAAGTTCCTCTTTAAGAAAGTGTGGTGTACACATATAATACCTTCCTTAGTTTCCCCCTCCCCCTGATCAACATGCAATTCAAATTTTTTAATCAAATCATTTTGTTTTTTAAGAAATATCTTTTAAAACCCAGTTATGTCATCACAGAGTCTCCCTGAGTTTGGGAGGGGGGGCCCCATCAGTCTCCTACAAATGTTACAGATTTCAAAAGAATTATAAGTACACATCCTCTGGATCCCTTTAGATGTGCCTGCTTCTCCCTGCAGGTCACTGGGTGCAGCAGACTTTAGCTTTGCAGTCTGCTAATTGGTTTACTGGCTTCAGGAACATCTAAAGATGCCAGGGAAGTGTACTTTTCACATAAAACTAAGGAACAAAATGACGGCTAAAGGAGCACTATGAGGTGAGTGCTTTTCACTCACCTCATAGTTCTAGCCGACCTGTGACAATGAAACTGTCACAGGTCCGCTCGGTAGATCGAGAAGTGAGCGTACACCTACCGGCGTTCGATCACTTCTCGATTCCCCCCTCCCCACTCTGATCCTCCAGCGCTGACTGGCGGAACAGACGGGGGAGGGGGCGGTTACAGCTGGCTCTGCCTCTAGATTGGCAGAGACAGCTGTCACTCACGCAGCTGGGCGGATCCAGACATAATTGTCGGGATCCGCGTCAGCTGCGGCGTCTCAGTATACCGCGAGATGTAGCTCGCGGTATACTGAGCCTAGGGTGACGGGAGGACGCTAGTTTGTGTCCTCCCATTACCCTGAGAACTATGGGGAAAAGCCCTAACCCCATAGTTCTCCTTTAATAACTATGAGAGGAAGGCAAATCACAGTACAGAACAATGGGAGAAGTGATTAATGAATGAAGGAGGTTGTTCAGGGAGGTGGGCTCAAAATAGCTGCTGCAGCTTCAAAAGGTTATATTGTGGAGATGCAGGTTTCTAGGGAATGGAAACCGTTTCAACACAGGAAAGAACTTGCTACAAGTGTGGGGGGGGGGGGGAAGGTAAGACAGGAGATCTTTAATTTTACCTAGTGATCCTGCCAGATACTTTCCCCAGGGGCTTCCTGTTATAGGATGAAACCACTCTGTCTCTCCCTGATTGTGCTTCTATATTGTCACCCTGTCACGTGGACTTCAAATGAAGACTACAAGTAGCTATTTCAACACGTATTACAACTATTTTCACCAACAAAAACACTTCCTGAGAAACTGCATGTAGCCACAGTTTGAGTGCATGCAGAGAAATAGGAAGTTGGAGTAAGATGCTACAGGAGATCAGCAGAACTGAGATGGGGAAAAAAAAAGTAAGTTCTTTAAAATACAAAGTGGTTTAACAAAGTAAATATCGTTCATTAAGGACCCATTCACATGTAGCGACTTACATTTGCAGCGGCCGGGATAGCGAGACTTTCGGGGCGATGTTCCAGCGACGGTAGCACGACCTTCTCCGTCGGGCTCCATAGAAAACAGCAAAATCGCTTAAAATCCGCCGAAAGAAGGGCCCTGTAGAAGCGACCTGCGACCGCGACGAAGCTAAGACAGCCCTGTTGAATTTCATTGGCTGGCGACTTCTCGCGAAATCGCGCGGCAAAAATTCAGAGTTAGGACTTACCGGTAACTCTATTTCCATTAGTCTTCCAGGACAGCATCACGAGATGGAATCTCCTCCCCCACACACAGGAAACACGTCACTTAATCTGTTTAAAAGACCCTCCTCTCCTCCACTCCCTCAGTCATCACGAGAACCGAAGGCAAGCTGGAAAAAGACAAGGCACAAACAGGCAATACCACTACATCACATTAACACTACAAGCATCAATGGGCGGGCAGTTGCTGTCCTGGAAGACTAATGGAAATAGAGTTACCGGTAAGTCCTATTGCCTCTCCCCTACATGAGCTCCCCATCCCCACGCACTGCATCCGTGGTCAAGCGTATGGAGGCTTGAGAATTCCACTCCAGACCCTCCCGAAGGTGTGGATGAATTCGCCACCACCACAGGCTTCTCTTTATTGAGGGGGGGAGGGAAAAGACAACGTCCAATCCCTCTTGCGAGCGATTCCAGTTCCTCAGAAAGAATTGTTGCAGAGGTCTCTGGTGGAACCGAGCCCACTTTACCGCCGGCAGGCAAGCGGTCATGAGACCCATGACCGAAGCCACCATTCTTAGTGACACCGGCTGAGTCAACTGAAGCCGACTGACGGCCGTGGAGACCTTGGCCACCTTCTCCCGAGGAAGGAAAATCCTCTGCTGGTTGGAATCCAAGATGTACCCTAGATAAGTAA